ATAGTATTTTTTAATCATCACATAAAACTAATCTCGAAAAATAAATCATTTTGTTGTTTTACTCCAAAAAAATAATTAATTAATTAAATAACACTAATGGTATAGTAAATGGAAAAAGTTACTTTGTCGTACATACAATTTTTGGCTAACAATAAGGTACTTACCTTTAATTTAAATACGGCACTTAAAAGGTAATTACAACACGAGAGAGATGAAGTTAGAGAAGAAGATACAGGTTTGGTCAAGGTTGGTTAATACTACAATTAATTATCAAACCAATAAATGGTTCAATTAGTTGTACACCTATAAAAAAATCAATATGAACTCATTTATTATTTTTAATAATAGTAGTATCCACACTGCAGCTAATTCAATTTATTGTCCCAATTTTTTTTTTAGAAAAGTTCCAATTGACCCGTTTGAGCCCCTTGATCTATTCCGCTAACAATAGTTGAAACTAAAACGGAAACAAAATCGTGTCTCAATATGGAACACCATTTTTTGGAGATATTAAATTTTGGTCACTTTCCCTTTGAAATTTTGTACTCCTTCTGTCCCGAAATTATTGTCCAGTTTCAGTTTGAGATTTCACTTTTAGTATAATTTGAACTAAAAATAAAAATCCAAACTGAATAATAATTTTGGGACAGAGGAAGTATCAAGAAGAAACATGGAAATTGGTTGAATAGTAGAGATTAAACTATTTCAACAAATGTTTAAGTCTTGGATTTAACTTGTTTGTCTGTTTGACCATATCTTAATTTCATAAAGTTCATGGGGCAACTTTTGTCCCTACTTTCTTCCTTCCTACAGGGCTACTTGCGCGACTTATTATTTTAGAGAGTTTGGAACAAAACTTATCCCAGCAATAACTTGTTTTGAGATATTTTTAAGCTGTCAAATACTATCCATTTTGTAAATTTCTGAAATAAATTTCAAGGTGAAGATAGTGGTTTTTTAAGTCAACTTTTGTAAATGTGGTTGAGAACCCTACCCGAATTAGTAAATGTATGAACCCGATCTCGGACACATTACCAATCATCCCATAGAAGAATCAAATCCCAAATCTACAATGACTTGAGTTAAAGTATATTCTTTGTTATAAAATGAATTATTTTCGGGTTAAAATAAAAAATATCCGGAGCTTTAATTGATTCTCTACAAGACTAAAACATACTTACTGTTTTTTTTTTTTAAAAAAAAAAGTATGTACTCTTAAACCCGCCTGTAAATTATCAAAAGGGCCTTCCGACTTCTAAAAATTGATGTATGCATATAAATCAGCCAAAAAAGTACCAAGAAAATATTCATATTCCTAATAAACCATGCATGAATTTTTTTTTAAACTCTAATAAAATCAAATATCCATATATGAATCTAAAATTTGCTTTTAAAGCCCCAAAAGTGCCACTTCACCCCAGGTTAAATCTTAGAAGGTCAGAATTAACTCATCACCCAAACAGATTTGATTATAGTTTGAAAAAATATCACGGAGGGTTTTTTTGGATTGCGAAGAGTTTTTTAATATTTTTTAATGAATTCATATACATACATCAATTTTTCAATCAGCTAAAAACCCTTTTGATAATTTATTTGATAGTTGAGGAATATCTTTAATATTTTTGTTTTAGAGCGTGTTTTATAAAATGAAGTAAATCCCGGGAGTGTTTTTTATACTAACCCATTATTTTATTATTTTTTATAGGGGTGAATGAGTGCATACATCTTAATGTTTACATCATTTAGTCAATTCATCCCAACATTTTAAAATTGATCAATTATGTCCCAAGATTATCAAAATTTGGTAAATTCATCCCGTGACCTGCAAACTTAAAAAATGACTTGATACAACAGGTAAAAATCTATTGGGACTCATATTCATTCTTTTTTTTCTCTCATTTTCTTTTTTTTTGTCATTTTACAGTTAATTAAAAATAAACAAAATTTTTAGATTAAAAAAACTTGAAAAAACTTAATTAATTATAAAAAATAATTTTATTCATCACAAATGAAATAACTTACAATTTAAACTAAATTAATTAAATTTTTAATACAAAGATATCCATGTGAAATCTTAATCATTCTATTTTTTAAAATAAGGAAGTTTCTTAAATTTTATAAAAAAAAAACTAAGATGAATTAGACTAAGAAAAATATTAGATTCATTAATATTAATATTGTTTGTCTTTCAATAAACTAAAATAAATTTAAAATTTTTTAAAAACATAAATAAAAAATTAAATAGGGGATCTAAATGATTTTTACCTGTTACACCAGGTCATTTTTATTGGTTTGCAGGTCATGTGATGGATCTGCTCAATTTTGATAACCTTGGGACGTAATTAACCAATTTTAAAATTTTGAGATGAATTCACAAGCAGGGTATAAATGTTGGGATTTATACACTAATATTTCCATTCTTATAGTACAACTTTAGAACAACAAATGAGTATGTCAATTACTATAGAAAATAATATAGTTCCCTTAATTTAGAAATAAGTGTCGTTTTAGTAAAATAGAAAAAAGATTAAAATAAGTAGCGTTTTATGATTCCAATGTAATGTTTTATTTTACTCATATTTGCAGGGTGTCTACCGTCAATAATAGTGACTAATCCTCCTCGATGAATTGTAAGTACCTCGATGCGTGGGACAGCATGACTAATCCCTCAATGCAATGTTTACCCGAAATTTTCAAAATTGCCTTCAAAAGAAATAATATTAATGGCCAACATTCGTATCAATCAGGTAGGTTGAAGATATTCTATTAATTTAGTTACTTTATTTAGACATTTCTTAGATTGCGTATAAATTTTTTAATGATACTTATTGTAGAATAAAGAGAGTAATTTTTATAGTAATAATAACTAATGGGGAGATGCAAAAAGAAAAAAATAATAATAAAAGTAAAAAATTAGTGATGAGTGAGTTGCTGCCTATTGACTATAGAGAGTGAGACAAACGAGCACAAGATTTTCTGTGCCATTTTCTTGTGACACTTACTGTGACACAATTCAATTACTCTATAAATTATATAATTAATATTAATACATGTACCATAGTTATAATTTTCATATTTTTATTTTATGTTTTATATCAATGTTTTATTTTTTTATAAAATTTGACTATTTTTATTGAATTTTTTAACTATGAAAATTAAAATAAATAAATCCTAAATCGAAAAAAGTAAACCCTCAGTCCTAAAATATATAAGTTCGAAAGTGATTATGAATAATATATGTATTAACACAAATTATATAATTTATAAAGAGTAATTAAATTATGTCACAGTGATAATTTTTTACAAACCGAGAGAAAGGGAAGTACTCAATGCCAGAAGTACCACTACCACCATTTTGTGTAGTCAGACTCAAAACAGTAAATACACACTGAGATCTGATGCATTCAATTTAATACTCAATGCTCTTCTTCTTCTTTTTTTTTCGTCTTCGTATTCTTTCTTATCGTTCTTTCTCTCCAGAATTCCACAAGACCTACAAAGAATCAATATAAGCCAGCCTCCACCCACCCACACCACCACCACCCCCATTTTATATTGTCGTGTTGGTGCTGGTGGTTAATGCTGGCCTCCTGGCTAAATGTATACATATATATATTCAGCCTTCTCACTATTCTGTCATTTAATTCAATTCAATTCCACTGTCCTACATTATTTATTGATTATTAGTACTCCCTTATAAATTCGATGGCGATCCCACAAACACACAGTCACACACATACACACACTCCGCCAATTCCTTTAAATTTGGAGGGTCCCGTTTTCCACCTCCCAATGTTTTCCTCCCAATTCCCCCATTCATTTATACCCACCCACACTTTCCATTTTTGCCTAGCAATTCTCTCCAATAAGATTTTCAGTGACGCAGTCCAGAATTTCATATTTAACCGTACTTATAATTCGTAAACGACCCCTAATAACATTATACTTTGTGAAAATAGACGTAAAATTTTGAGTTATCGTAGGATTTTCGCGAAAATGACGTTTTATTATACCTGTCTGTTCCCTTTGCTCTAGTCGCGGTCTAACGTTTTCGTTCACAGGCCACTCTGCGTTTTTATTTTGTGGAGCATTGATCAACAGCGTTGCCGATGGATCTTAATCTTTGAGTTATTATTAATCGGGTACCCACATTCCCAACTCCCAACCCCTACCCAAATATCAAAGTACAAACAAGGGGGAAAAAAGTGTATTCAAATTCATTTACATTAGGACGCGAACAAAGTACACATTTTACCTATGAAAATGTAAAAATATGCTCTCTTTGTCTTATAATAATTGTCATATTGTAGAGTAAAATAGTATAATCATTTTCATTAGGAGGGATTATAATTTCGATGCTTCAGCTAAACTCTTTCCGTCCCAAAATTAAATTATTGTCCGGTTTGTATTTTTACTTTTAGTTCAAATTATACTAAAAGTGAAATCTCAAACTGAATAATAATTTTGGGACAGAGGAAGTATATATTATTAAAAAAAAAATCTCAACTTAATGCAAGTGTATTTTTCTGATGAGATGGGGCTCAAAAAGAAAGTTGTTCCCCTGGTAGTAGCAAAGTTTATCGAAAATCCTAATTTCATTTTAGAACATCAAAAATGTACGTCATAAACGAGAAGAATTTCCGAATTGCAGTAATTAAAAACGTTCTTTGACCATTTGAATGTCTGTTAAAACTTAGTTTGGGAAAACGAAAACAATTATAATTATTGTAAGAGTAAAAAGGACGTAGGCAAAAGAAAAATATTTTTACCCAATCCCAAAGAACAATGTGGTAAAATAAAACATTTTGGAAGACTAGAAGTCGAAAATTCTCCATTTTCAAGTTTCAACCCCCACCTAAATCAGTTCGCCATTCAACAATTTACCCATGTTCTTTAACTTTACCTCAAAGATAAATCTTACTATTCTCCAGCTCCAAATGGTATCATTGTAATAGTAAAAAAAAAATTGGAAAGAAAATTAAAAAGGAAAAAAAAAAAAATCTGCTCATCATATTATATAAGTATACAAAGAAAATTTCATGAGGTAAAAAAAAAACGTACTTTTAATTATGAACACTAAGAAGACGTTGACCTGGTCATAATCATAATGTCAACCTTCCAACTAAAAAAACATCAACGGTTCTGATGAAACCTCCCAAAATCAGCAAGCTTCCGGGACCGGTTCTTGCAGAACGACGACGGATTAGTCAGCGGGGGCTTCACCGGGACCACTCTAATGTCGCCTGAAACCACCATTTCCGGCGGAACCCCTTTCTTGTTCCAATGCCTACTGGGGCTCGCACGCACCAAGGGACTCAGGCAAAACGTCATCCCCGACACGTTCCGACTGTGCCCGCCTCTTCCGCCGCCACCTTTCTTCATTGTCGGCATCGACAGCGGAGTTTGTCTCGGCGTCTGTTTCCAAGGCTGGGAAGATTCCGATGAATACCCGCTGGATCCATTATTACAATGCTCGTCTTCGTCGTCGGAGTACCTAGCCGGAGACATCCCCCGATCAGGATTCCGGCACACCCGCCGTTGACCGAACCCGGTCGCCGTTTCTTCCACCGAGAACGTCCTGCTTTGCTTTTTTCTCCGACCGTGGAAAATCGAAGAGAACCAAGACGGCGACGCCTCCGGCAAGGTGCAAGATTCAGCGGAATCCATCGCCTGATCTGGGTCCACACAAGTGCGATTGGAATCCAATTTATCCGATTTCGATCTGAAGAAGTAGCCGAAGAAAGAAAACTTGGTGCCGCTCTTCTTCTTACCGCAAGAAACCGCGGCTACTAAGGTCCCATTGGGCCCAACTTGGGGAGTACTGTAAAACCGGCGATCCGGCAAACTATTCTGATGTCGATAACTCTTCCGATTCCGAGGATCATCCCAGACGGCGGAATTGGTATCAGACTTCCGCCGAGAAATATAAGGCGAAACAGAACGAGGGAACACTAAAGGAGGGGGTACGGCTTCCGATTTACGGCGATCATCATGTTGCGCGGCCGCCGCCGCAGCCGCGGCCTGATGAAGGGCCGCCTGAGCTTGTTCTTGGGCAGCGATGAGAACGAAAAGGCGCTCCCGGAGACAAGAAGCACAAACCCCAACAACACTACTCAAATCGGTGATGTGCTTCTTGCACTTCATCTAGTTCATTCAATCAACTAACAATCCCTGATTTCACACATAAGTTTGGCCGTCAGAATAACAAAATTCCACCGCACAAAGAAACAGAGGGATCCAACAAATTTGAAAGCAAAGGAAAAATCGACAAATGGGGAGGGAAAAAAAAAAAAAAGGGATCTTTTTGTCTTGAGGTCTAGTGATGTTGTTGTACTGCTATATTGCCACAATTCAACAAATGGACAGAGAATTAGAGACGAGAACAGGGGAAGAGGAAGGACAAAACAGAGAAAGATAGAAAGAGAGAGAGGGGGTAGTATAGTTGTCGTAGTAGAGGTTGGTTAGGTGGGTGGGTTGAGGTGTAAGTTTTTATGCAAATTTGTGGCAAATTGGTTGGCTTTGGGAATCAAGAATCCGAAAACTGTTTTTCGCAAATTTGAAAGAACCAACAAAAAGCGAAAAGGAAATAGATACAAGATCGGAAATGGAAATGGAGAAGGAGCTGACTGACACACGGGCTTATAATTATTCAATTTTGCTTTTCTTTTTTCTTTTTCTGATCAGAATTCAGAAATTGAATGAATGCAATTTAAGAGAGGAGCAGGGAGGAGACGGATCATTTAATTCGGGTTTGACGGGCGGATCGGTTTAGAGTCACTGTTATATTGCTTACCTCATGGATAACTAAATAGTAGTCGTAAATTGATTCATATATATATATATATATATATATTGGAAAATTTTTAATCCATTATTATTAATCTGTGAAGATTTTTTTTAAAAAAAAAAATCTGTGAAGATTAATTTAGCCTTTAAACGTGTCTTGAAGATTTTGTGCTGACAGGAGATATTCTTTGTGTGTCTCATTATTATTTTCTTTTATGATTTGATTTGTTTTGAGAGTTAACAATGTTTAAAATTGTGAGAGTAGCAATTTCTACGAAGGAAACATTAACACAGCGTGACCCATTCTTTTTGGTGTGTAATAATTTTCTTTTATTTTATTAATTTTTGGGTCACTTTTTTTTCTGATACAATAAAAGAAATCGAAAGTTAAATTATAAGTCTAACGGAAAGAAATATGGTTGGGAGATTCTGATTACTTCGTGCTTTAGTTACGGTTTAATAGATATTTAAAAAACAATTATGAATCGTTGTTGATAAAATTGTAAAATAATATGTTGTAAAATTTGATTCTCTATCCTTACAATAGTTTGTGATTGTTAATTAATTCCTCATATGAACTGATTAAGATTTTGCAACAAGAAAGCTACACACGTGGATTTAATATTTTTCGCTTATCCTGAATGGTTTTTGTTGAATGGTAAATTACGGTGCTACCACATTCACACTGAATTTCATTTTCTTGACTTGTAATCCTTTGAAAACGAATTAAATATATTTTATATGGTGTTAGTGTATTACCTGGAGATGAGGTAAGTACAATGTTTTTCGTGTTTAAGTAACACTGGAAAATCCTTACGTAATTAAGACGTGTTATTAAAGTTTCTAAATTCAGTTTTAATAATAAGTCCATAGTAGTATATAATGCCTGGTTTTGCAGTACTTTTAATTTAAGTGGTCATGTTTTTATCTGGATCAGCTTGGTTGACTATATTTACTACCGAAAAACTGATGCTTTTTGTATGTTTGTTGATTGACTTTGTTTGAGTCAAGAATTTGAGTGATTTGCACTTTATGATTTTGTCCAGCTTGTTCTTCTTGTTGGTTTAAATGCCTAACTTGTACGCTCCAATGGCCTCCCACTTGTTGTAGTCTCTATTTTCCTTTTTTAGTTTCAAGTATTACCAATTTGCAATTTGTCCCATAAATTTATCCTAGGAGTATAAACATTTTCAGTCTAAAAGGAACATTTGTCCAGGCAATTAGCGTTCTACGAGTAATTTTTTTTAACCGTTACAAATTATGGATTTTTCTTTGATTAATCATCCGGAAAAAAAATTTTACTTCAATATTGACTTTTTATTTTCTTACTAAGTACTCCCTCCGTCCCATAATTATTGTCCAATTTAGGTTTTCATTTTTAGTTTAAAATGTACTAAAAGTGAAATCTCAAACTGGATAATAATTTTAGGACAGAGTGAGTACATGATAAATGAGACCCTACTTTTATGGAAGTTGTATTATTATTCTTAGTTTCCGAAACTGCATTTCGATTATGAGATGAAAGGGTTATTATTATTGTTGACTACGAAATTCTGAGTATTTTATCTTCTGGAAAATAATTTTTTTTATTATATCTACGATAAACATAATTTTTACTTTACAAAAGGAAGTATTAAGAAAGACCCCATGAGGATATAAAATGGAAGTCAGCCATACATGAGGCTAATATGAAATTTATGGATTTTTGTGTCAAGGATGGTGGCCTTTTGCCTCAAAATTGCATTTTCCAATCTATAAATGAAAATGTGTACCCCTAATAATGAGATAGGTAAAGACTCACTCCGGTACTTACTTATTATAAGGCACTTTGATTTTTTCTAGGTTTCGCCTAGTAAGTATTTTTAATTGACAAATAAACCTTAAAAATATTTAATAACAATCAAAAGAATACAACGAATGTGAAAATATATTTTTAAGATTTTTTTGTCAATTAAAAATACATATTAAATGAAATTTAGGACAAATCAAAATTATTTGTATTAACGTCTTAACGAAAAGATAACCAAGCGAAAAGTCAACTTATGTCTGCTTCAACTAATGATTCAAATGAGTTTTATATATCATTTGAACACTATATATATGTGTGTGTGTTTTAATTCAACTAAATGAATTATTAAAATATGTGGAGAATGATATATATATATATATATACATATATATGTTTTAATTTAACTAAAGACTAAACTGTATAAATGGTCTCCTACATTTGTCCGAATTTAAATTTTGGTCCCCTACATCAATATGTATATGGATTGAGCCTTTACATTTCATTTTGAAACTTTTTTGGTCTCTTTTCAGTGTTCCGTCACCATTTCCGTCTTGATGATCGTTGACCCAATTAGGGGTATTTTTGGAATGACACATATAAGATCAAAAGACTAAACTGTATAAATGGTCCCCTACATTTGTCCGAATTTAAATTTTGGTCCCCTACATCAACATGTATATGGATTGAGCCTTTATATTTCATTTTGAAACTAAAATATTAAAAATTATTATTTATAATAAAAAAGTAGATAATTTAAAAATAAAAATAAAAAATTAAAATGATTTCAAATTTCAAAATTTTTTTTTCACTTCCCACCTTTGTGGGTCCCACATGCCAGTCAATTTCTCCCTTGCTACAGTAAAAAAAAATCAAAATTAAAAAGTAAACTTACCTTCACCCGTCTTTTACCTTTACCCTTAAAAGTTTTATTCTTACCAAATTTTAATTACAAGATTAGGAAGTATTAATGCTTTCAGTCTACAAAGAAGGGAAAAAAAAATCCTTTTATTTATTTTTTTTGGTATATTACACATTTGGTGTCCGAAGTCATTGCTCTGACTAATCTGGATTCGAGCCGGGTAGGTTCTTTTCGGGAGGCAAAACTCTCCCAACAAATATTTTAATCACTGTTGCATGTCCATACCTGGGTTAAACTGGTCTAATATTTTTACCACTTGGACCAAGTACTTGTTGGTAAAAAAATTCTTTTATTTAAGAGTTATGTTTCACATTTAGACTTTGTACTAAAATATCTCATCTAACATAAATTTTATTTTACGACGGATGAGGATAAGAAAGTCAAATATTTGGGATTTATATGCATTAATATTGCAACTTGGTGCTTTCAAGTTTTAGCTATCGGGGGCAAGAAAACAAAGTCCGGACGGAAGATTTTTGTGTCAAGAATGGTGGCCTTTAGCCTCATATTGCTGTTTTCTATTCTATAAATGGAAATGTATACCAATAATTAGAAATGTTAAAACACTTTAGAGTTTAGACTTTAGACGATAAGATGAGAAATTAAGCAAAAAGTCAAGTACTGGTTCAAATGAGTTTTAAATTTTTTTAATACAAATAATTATGATTCAAAAGAATACGGCGCATACATGTATATTCTGTATATTGAAGCAGGCCAAATTAATCTGGACACCGTTTTTCAAAAGTTTTGAAGCATCATCATTCGGTAAAAAAAAATTTACTACTTGTTTGGTTTTAGAAAAATTATTTATTTCGTTGAATTAAAACTATATAATAGATGAAATTATTTTCATTAATTCGATCAAACTAATGAAAAAACATTCCCATCAGTCACACAAACCAAGTAGCCACCCATTAGAATCTTATTTATTTACTTTATATGTCCAAGAAAATAATTTACATTGTAAATTTCAATTTATACTGTTTTTAGTAGATATTTCAAACTATAATGTGAATTTTTTTGGGACATATATAATATTTGTTATTTAGACTTCTCTAAACTTTGTTGTTTTTTTTTGGTTGATTTATTCCATTGCATATACTCCTCTCCTCGTGTCTCTGTAACATTTTTCCCATGATTAAAACTTAATTTTACTTCTGTTTAGGTAATTGAGATTGGTTAAAGCTTCCTAATGTGTGTGTAAGTTTTTCTTTTTCCTTTTCCTTTAGCTGTCACCACATTTCAAGTTGATCTCACATCTCGTTGAAAAAGAGGCTTACAAAACATATATCATTATGTCACCTTTCGACTCTAACATGTACAATGAACTAGGAGTATTTGATGTTTTCATGATAATTGATACTTTGAAAATATTGGTTAGGAACTTTTAAATTTTTAAAAAAATATTAACAATATGATTCTCAAGTCATTGTTTGGTAAATCGATCATGATTAATGAATTTTTTCATTTCACTCTAGTTAGCATTTTTTGCTCCTTAAATCGCCCTAAACTAGTACTACCATAGTAAAACGTGAGTTGTGTGTTTTACAAATCGGCCCAGAAAAACCTCGATCCAAGATAAAGCGAATGAGGCCGAATACATATCACCGGAAATGGGCTTCAAGTATCTTTTACAGTGGATGGGGGAATAGGGAAATTTAGCCAAGCCAATTCTTTCTCAGACTGCCTTCTAGCTCACAATTGGTTTGTTGATTTAATGCAGCAAGGCAACGAAGGAGCGGATCACTAGCAAAGTTCGGTATGTCTTGTCCGATTTTCGGAGATTAATGTTGCATTGCATTTTCAAAATGATGGACCGTCCATGGACAGTTGATATACTGCACATTGATTTAAAAAAATTCAACAATTCCTAAAACGACATATATTTCAAAATGGAGAGAGTATTTACATTTCTTTGTCAATTAGTGTTAGATTTGGGAGTTGAGGAAAATTCAACATTTTCTGTCAATAAATTAGAACGTACAAACATGTGTCTATAGATAATAATTTGTGTGCGGATATTTTGGCGAAATAAGTGCTAAATTTAAATAAGTATATATATTTTTTAGATGTAATATAGCGAGTTTAATTCGTGTAATAGTTGAAAATAAAACATTCAATTCAGTGACTTAGGACTCTGCCCAACATTGTTTTCCGCCCCCCACCAGAATTTTTTTTTTTTTTCGTTTCCTTTTTATAGTTGCTAATACATCAGTAGAATCCAAAAATACGTAAGTCATGAAATAGTTCAATGTGCCAAAATATTTGCAACATATAGTTTGTAGATGAACTTTCTCGTTTCAATTGTTGCTGACCGTTTTTCAATATAGGTTTAAACCTGAGTAGTTTTCTTATACAATTGATGGATCCTATTTTATTTTTAACAAACAAAAATATATTCAACCAAATTGTGAATTATATATTTTTTGATTTAAAAGAGAAACCTTTTTTTGACTACTACTCCCTCCGTCCCATAATTATTGTCCACTTTGCCCAAAAAATTTTGTCCCAAAATTATTATCCAATTTGACTTTTTATGGATCAAGTTACACGTTTGTCCTTAGTAAAAAACATTATCCATAAAATTTTAGTGGTTAAACAATTACTTATGTAGGGGTATATCCGGTTGTTTAAGGTAAAATATAATTAAGTTTGACCAAAAATAAAATCTTTCATTTTAGTAAAAGTGAACAATAATTATGGGACGGAGGGAGTACTATTTTTCACAAAATCTCAGACCATTCTCCCCGGAATCGGTCATAGTCTTTCCATAACAACGGCAATTGACCAATGACGAAACAGAAAGGAATTGCCCAATACTAGCGAGCCGTTGACTGAACGAGTGAACACTTCAACGCACTACTAAATTTAGTAATTCCGCGGTAAAATCGAAAGGTCCAACTTTTAATGCACAACGTACAACGCCCCCAAAGCACCAAAATTATCAAGATTCTCAGAAACTTCAGCATCGCATCCGAATCTGTGTTCAAACTTTACAGTCCCTTCCATCCATACTCTCGGTTCCCCCAATTCTGTTATAAATTTTCCATGTTTGAGAAGCTAGGGCTTCGGAGAATCTGAAACTGTAGCTATTGAGCTCCTGATTGTTTGCTGGAATGACGAATTTTTCGCACAAATTGAGGCTGTCGTCGACGCTGCTGAGGCGTTTGCAGCAAAGAGTTACCGCGGCGAATTCCGACAAGTTCAGATCGTTTACCACCACGGAAGGACATCGTCCGACCATTGTTCATAAACGCAGCCTCGACATTCTTCACGATCCATGGTTCAACAAAGTAAGTGCTGTGTGATGCTGGATTGGAGTTTGGTTTTGTTATTTCATTGCTTTAGTTGAAATTTAGCTGGATTATGAAATTTTTTGTGATCTCTACTTGCTTATGTGGAAGATCGTAAATCATTTTAGTGCGCTCATTTTTTAGGCTTGCCACTAGTGTTGAACTATTGATTGTTTAGGATCAGAAAAGAGAAAGCAGAGAAACACACATTTGGTGTATACTGTAAAATTGGAAACATTTTAAGTTAAATATGTGGATGGACATTCTCAAAAGAAGGAGAATGAAGGAAATAGTCCAAACAATGAAATGATTTTGCAGAGTATGTAGTGTACTTCTGAGGAAAGATTTCTATATCTAGATTATCCACTTACAAGTATGGAGCTCTAAAATTCATCTGGAGCTAAGGCAGGGCATTTATTAGCTGGATGATAATCAGTCTTTTTTGGTGTCATGCTCCCCTTGTCCTTATTAAATTTGTGAATAATGCATGATTAGTGATGTGTGATAAATGAAACGACTTAATTATCACATTTCCCTGTGATTGGTGGCTTTTCCACATTTTTAGATCATTCCTTTGTGATTTTGTTTCAAATACATCTTTACTTTAATTTTGCTTTTGATTTTGCGTTGAAAATAGTTCCTTATTCAAATTGTGAAAACTAACATGTTGAACTGTAAAAAGTTGTGTGAAAAAAAAAATGAAAAACACAATGCAAAACTGAAAACAAATGGCAACCTACCAGTTTATGAGATGATCTCACTTATAGTATTGTTACTCTTTGATTAAATACGTGGTGTGCTTGGCATGCATGCTCAATGAAGGTTCCTATCATTACTACTCTATGGCTTAAAGCTTATTTTAATTTTGAGCAGAATTTTGGAAAGATTTAGCCCTTGAGATGTATCACAGCTATTCTGTTATTGGGCAGAAGTTCCACCGCATTGGGACTTTATCGGGAGTAGTATTGTTCCAATTACACCTATTTCCAGTAAAGTTAGTCAGCTGTTGAACTGTGGATGATATGGCAAGGGGACTAAGTAAACTGTTTTGTGCAGAATCTAATTCCCATAAGATCGATAACTACATGTTTCGTAACCACCAAATGATATAATGACTGTCCTGTTACTCTTTCCAAATGAACAATTTCTCTACTTTCCGTGAATCTATGTGAGCTAAAAAGGCAGATCTTTAACATTATGTTATCTTTTAAAATTACAGGGAACAGCATTCTCTACTACAGAACGTGATCGCCTCAATCTTCGTGGACTCCTGCCCCCTAATATTATGTCTCCCGAGCAGCAAGTAGATCGGTTCAGTAAGTTTCCATCCGCCAACAATTTCATGGTAGAAACGGCAGCAAGATGTATACGTGACAAACTTCTGAATCTGGCTTTAATTTTGTTAGTAAGGGTTAAATTATCCTGAACCGGGCAAGAAGGATTGCAGACGTTTATTAACTTGAGAGCTCAAGATAGATGTAAAACTAGTTGTCACTGAAACCCCTAAATCCGTTATGAATTGACCTTGATATGGAATTTTTTTGCAATAACAGTGGCGGACCTCAAGAGGCTACAAGTGAATGCTAGAGATGGACCATCTGATCCCAATGCTTTGGCAAAATGGCGAATACTGAACCGCTTGCATGATAGAAATGAGACCATGTATTATAAGGTTGGCACCTTCTTTATACTGCTTTGTTGCTTTGTCAGATGCCAGTAAATGTGGATCTTATATGCTAAGTAGAATAGATTGTTCTCTAGGACAAGCTGCAGTATGAACCAATGTATTTTCGCAAGATTAGAACCATTATGACTGGCATATAAAGGGAAAGAAAATGATGAAACTGATTATATGGAATTCTTTTTCCTTTACGTTTTTTACCTTGAGTTTTCTGGGAAATTCAACCTCCATTGAACGGATAATGCTGTCATTTAGGGATAACGTTCTTAGAGTTCTGAAATCAATTAGAAAACCAGGGATCTCTGAGCAAGTTGTAGGATTAAGCGGGGGAGTTGTGGCACTCTTATTTTCTGCATTACCATTAATTATGGGTATTCTCTTAGTAAGTGTTGCTTTAAAACTGGATATAAATTTGTTGATGCTGGATAGACGATGTTGATGTGTTCCTTGTGTAAAAATGTATAATGTATCTATCATACCTCTTTGGTTCAATTTGCGCCGATAATTATTCTTGAAACTAGAAGATTCTGAATCTTACCATCATTGACATTGGTGAATTTGGAAGTCATTTCCTATTACAATTAGTAAATCGTGTGGTTGAACTGTGCATTTTAAATGGTATTTACAGGTATTGATTGGCAATATCGAGGAATATGCACCCATCGTTTATACACCTACTGTGGGCCTTGTTTGCCAAAATTACAGTGGATTGTTCAGACGTCCAAGGGGAATGTACTTCAGTGCTGAAGACCGTGGAGAGATGATGTCGATGGTTTATAATTGGCCATCTGATGAGGTTGTCTTCTTTTCTGAATTGAATAGCATTACCACTTAACGTTCTGGTTTGCAGTAGCTTCCTTGGTTAGCCATTGCTAACATTATATAAATATTAAACTAGCTAAATCGATGCTCATTAATTACGCCTTTTTATGAACATCACCAGTGTTTTTGTAGAAGTTACTTTACAGTTGACGCTGATATATGGGGACTTTAATGCAGGTTGATATGATTGTTGTCACGGATGGAAGCAGAATATTAGGCTTAGGTGATCTTGGAGTGCAGGGAATTGGAATTGCAATAGGAAAGCTGGATCTTTATGTAGCTGCTGCTGGGATTAACCCTCAGAGAGTATTTTTTCTTACTCTAGCCCTCTCTACTAGTTGACTTCATTTGTATAAGGATTAGTCAAATAGATGCCTGTTCTAGTGTATTTGACAGTGATGCACTTAAGATTCCATTATGACAAGACATTAGATTGAATCTACAATGTCGATCTCTCCAGTAGGGCCTCTTTAAGAATGGGATAAAACACGATTTTCTTTGCCTGCAAGAAAATTTGTGTCTTTTGGAAGTGTTACTTTAGCTAATTACTAAGCACATGATATATTAGCAAAAAAGTGATCCGTGCTTTTGTTAAACTGCAAGATTCATACAGAACTTTGAATTTGTTCCCATATGACGATTGAAAGTATTTTTTCTTATTTTCTGCATTTTTAAAGATCAGTATTACAAATACAAGCTAAGATATTTGGAATCTGTAAGAGATTTATGCAAATATTTTTGAGCTATCTCGTTTTCTTTCCCAGAGCACTTTCGGTTTTACTTGTTTGTCGTATTTGATTTTATAGTTTTGACTTTGTAGCTCTGCTTCTTTTAAGAATTTCTTTTCCAAGTAATGCGGTGATCAGTTGGTTCTTGTTCTAGTTTCATTTATTATTTCTCACTGTTCCTATTTTGTTGTCATTCATTAGGTACTTCCTGTTATGATTGATGTTGGCACTAATAACGAGAAGCTTCTAGCTGATCCATTGTGTAAGTATAAATTTTCCTGCCATATCATTTGCGGTACTGCATCTATGTTAGGTCTTATGAATTATGTTAATTCGTCTTTTGTTTTCTTTTACAAGGATCAAGTCAGCACCTTCAGTTTCCCTTTTTCCTTTGCCCATCACTTATCTTCGTGCAGCACCTGAACTCTGTCTATGTACTCTGGAATTTAGTCATCTGATCCATGTTTCTGATAGAAGTATCTTTTCTATCTAGTCTTAATCAATTCCGGAACTTCCTTATTTAGATTATTGGTTTACTTTTTCTATCTTAGGAGCATACTTTGCATTTCTTTTATTTCTTGGACTATCTATACGTAGAATGGAAACGAGTACTTTTCTTTTTTGTGACTTGTAATGGCATAAAGTTTAAGTTATTTGTCTACAGATTTGGGACTGCAACAACATCGCCTTGAAGGGGATGAATATATTGCTGTCATAGATGAATTCATGAAAGCAGTTTTCACTCGCTGGCCTAACGTGATAGTGCAGGTACTTTGTAAGTTTATATTTTGTAGTATGAATATATATTGAGCACCATTTCTGTTGGTCTTGTTTGGTGATGTGAATACTTTAGAGATGACAACTCTGGCATTTTGTGTTCTTGCAGTTCGAAGATTTTCAGAGCAAGTGGGCATTTAAACTGTTGCAGCGTTATAGGAATACATATAGAATGTTCAATGATGATGTTCAAGTAATATTTTTTACACTACTAAGCCTTTTCATTTAATTATAATTTCTTCCAATCACATTGTGGACAAACGGGATTTAGTTGTTAGCACTATGTACACCTTTGAGATCCATCAGTCAATTATTGCGCAAAGAAAAAGGTCCTCCTTTCTAACCTTAGAATAGATTGGCAGTTGTATGCACTGTAAGGTGGCTTCGGGGGTTGGATGAGTTGATTTTCATGAGGAAGCTTGCTGGGTGTGGGGAAGGGCATAATTTTGGGCCTTTGATTGACTATATTTCTCCAAATTTTCTTCAGTATCCAAAGTGAAAATGGTTGATCAAAATCTGTTATCTCAACAAATGTCCTCCCTCTTTTGACAAAGCCTCATATGTGGAGATTGACTGTTTTTTCTTATCGTGCAATATTGTGAAGTTGTTTTGGACTACGATGCTAAATATTGCTTGAAATTAGTTGTCCTTCACAAGTCATTTAATTCGCAGTGCATGTTGAAGAATAGCAAATTTATGATGGTTGAAAGGTTTCCATTCATACAGGGAACTGCAGGAGTTGCTATAGCTGGTCTATTAGGGGCGGTCAGAGCACAAGGAAGGCCAATGATTGATTTCCCTAAAATGAAGATTGTAGTTGCTGGAGCTGGAAGGTAATGGCAACTATGGCTTTCTGATTTCTTTTCAGGCACTGGGTTTTAGTATACCATGTTGTTGCTCAAATGTGATAAAATAGACCATAAGTCGATACTCATCCTTGAGCAGATATAATAATGAATCACTTTACTGGAAAGCTTCAATGCAAACATTGAAAAAGCACAAATGCTCACTGCAGCAAGAAATTTACTTCTCCTAAAAGGAGCAGATTTCATTTGTTCTTTAGTGATGGTATCAGAAATTATGTAGAAACCAATAGCTGTGAATTATTTTATCACAACTGCTAATGGATCTCGCCAGTACTGGAGTAGATGTTATGGACCTGGTGGTGTTTCTAGTCTTTTTGTTGTTGGTGGTTTTAGGGATGATAAACCGTATCTTATGTGTAAAGTTAGAGCGGCTGTATTCTCCCTTTGCATTTGAGACTCAAGTTCCTCACTTACAAGGTTCACACATTGCTTTTGGTAACTAAGGTCCTATGGAAATAGGCTTTATTGAGGTTGGCTCCTAAGTTAGTATTCCACCCCTAGGAACCAGTGAGACCAGTGAACATGATGGTCTTCAAATGCAAACGAGTTATGGAGGTGGAGAGGTTGTCTGGGAGTTACATTTTTTTAGTTACAAAGTTATCACAATTAAAAGTAATGTGTGTGCTGGTAATGCTAGCATCTAACATTCATGTTCAGTTTACTAAGGTTGCGATGTTTTCATACTGATTTTTAGTTGCTTGGTGACCCAAGACAATACTCTTGTTTTCATGTGATTAACCTTCTAAACTGGCTGATTCTTTCTGATGCAAGTTTTTACTAAGGGTCTGCAATTGAATATAAATATGGGCATGCTCTTATGAGTAAGACTGGTAAGCGCTCACTAATATAAGCTTTTCTCAATTGCAGTGCTGGAATAGGTGTTCTAAATTCAGCCAGGAAAACAATGGCAAGAATGTTAGGAAACACTGAAATTGCTTTTGAAAGTGCTAGGAGTCAATTTTGGGTGGTCGATGCCCATGTGAGTAATCTCATTCTCTAGCTATCTTCTCATGGTTTATTATTGTTTCAAGCCTTCTGAGTAAAGCATACTTAAGGATATTGGGTTCCATCAATTAATCTTGGAAATCTATGCTATGGCTATGTAGTCTTACTTGATTTCGAAATGGATTTTCTTAGCGGAGAGATGTGTGATTGAGTTTGGTTGATTTCATGGTTTCACCCAAGCATTCTCTTGGAATCCAATTTGTACTTAAAATCATGTGGACCTGCGGCTTCAACCCACCATAGATGTGGAATGGGTCTCTTAATCCTGCTTATCCTTATTTTGTATTTAGCCAACTGCCATCCTGCATGTTTGAACCTTGATGAATTATTTGAATAAGACGAACTTTTCCACCTTCCACGTGCTTATCTCTGGAAATTAAAATTTGTCTGTTCACTTTGGTTAAATTGTGTGAAGCTTCTAGCCATACTCCTATCTCATAAGATTTTGACAACCAAGTATCTACCCTAATAAATAAAAGAAAACATTGTCTTTTCCAAATTTCATGTTCCTCTAGTTCAAGATGTTCTTAAGTTAACAATTCTTCATATAGATGGAACAAGTATTTGTTAACTGCTAAGTAAGATGCTTTACTGCTCATTTGTATGCTTTCCTTGATGGAAATTGACTGAAAGTTGTTACAATTCTATTGTATCCTAACATGCTTCATAAATATTAATTGCCCCTCTATTATGTGTTAGGGCCTGATAACTGAGGCTCGTGAAGATATTGATCCAGATGCTCGTCCTTTTGCAAGGAAGGTGAAAGAAATTGATCGTCAGGGGCTCAGGGAAGGAGCAAGTCTTGTAGAAGTGGTTAGTAGGAAGTTTGAACAACCCTGGATAATTTTTCCCATTGCTATATTTCTACTTCCCTAAGCTCTATTTACTTGCTTGCCTTCTGTTTTCTTTTGCTGAATTGTTTTTACTTTAAAAGAACACATACTTAATGCTCTGGTATTTGCAGTGGATAGGTACATACCTACCGTTATTATTACAGGCAGAAATGTACCTCAGCCTGCAAATTAACTTTTTCTCATTAATGTTTGATTTTGATGAAATATAGTAATACTATTGATAAGACAAAGAATGTAAGGAAGATATTTAAGAATAAAAAATAATATAATATCTGACAAGCAAACAATTAGGTGTTTCTGTGAATAATCGATTGAACTTACTCTATAACTTAGTTTGTGATGAAAGGGTTCACTTCTCCAGATGTATAAAGTTCGTGGAATGGGAATCTAACATTTGCTAATTTGCTTAGACCTTTTAACTTAGTAAGATTATATATTTGATTTTCTAAGAATTATTATAATCAAATTTAGTTGATTAACTACTCTGGGATTTCAGCATGCTAAGGGGCTTGAACAGTTTCCAGGATCTGTATGGCTGTAACATTTTAATGCTGTGTAGCTTTCTTCTAATATCATTTGAAATTTGTCTAAATTAATGATTGAAATTTGAAGCTACAGGGAGAGTGGGGGATGGGGTGGTTAAGCATGTGGGGTGTGAATCCCATGGCCTTTCACATCAGAGAAACTAAAAGAATAAAGAATAGTGGCTTCAATATTTGAACCCTTGTGGTTGTAGTTACTTCCATGAGAGTATTTATATTGATTGCGATTGATTTCAAACAGGTGCGGCAAGTAAAGCCTGATGTACTCCTTGGTCTATCCGCGGTTGGAGGTCTGTTCTCTCAGGAGGTATGCCTCAGTTTTAAAAGCCAAAGTGGGATATCTGTGTGTGTGTGCATGCTTTTGAGAGAGAGAGAGAGAGAGATGAGTTTTACAGTTCAGCCTAGTTAAATATGCTGTTGGATTAAGACCATCAAAGTGTTGTTTGTCGTATTTCCATGATAGTAGCATGAGTTTTATCTTTTTTTTTTTTTACCTCTTCGGTTGTTCCTCTGAATTGGTGGATCATTTTAGAGCTAGAATGGTAGAACAAATCTCTTACATTTCATTATTTTCTAACCTCTTCCTTTGATCATCAGGTGCTAGAAGCCCTTAAGGGTTCAACTTCTACAAGACCAGCAATCTTCGCAATGTCAAACCCTACTACTAATGGTATCTTTTTATGTCTTAGGTTTAAATTTTACTTCCTGTCGATGGACCAATGATTTAAATCTTTTCTAGCTGCTTCAGTAATCTTTTTTTTTTTTTTGGTAGCTGAATGCACCCCGGAGGAAGCGTATTCCATTGTTGGTGACAACATTATCTTTGCTAGTGGCAGCCCTTTCAAAAATGTTGATCTGGGTAGGTATTGTTTCACAGTCTTTGGATTAATATATTTGTGTGTGTACTAAACTGGATCTTTCTCTTGGGGTTGTTCACCATGGGACTAGCAAGTCACTAAGATCATATATCAATCAGTTAATCATCATACTTTAACATCACTGCATCCACTCCAATACCCTTCCATCTGTTGGGAGCTGGACCCTTGTTCGGACTAATTCCTTAACCATGACAAACAATATGCAGTTGCTATTTATCCGAAATCTAAGCATTTCTGGACTAATTTGAAATGAAAAAGATTCAATAGGTTGGTCATTTTTTTTTAAAGAAAAGTGGAACTAATATTTAGCAGATAACTAGTAAATTGATTATTCAAGATCTGTATGAAGATTATGCTTGGATCTTTTTAAATTTTGCATGAATTCTAAAAGCTGAATAAAGACATATTTTGATCATGCTCTTAAATGTTTTAATGATTTAGAAGACGTGATTGCTGCATCAGCTTGATGGGCAAAACAGTTAAAGCCTTGAATCCAGATGTATATGTTCTCATCTTATTAGATATTCTTTTGGAAAGTATGTTCTTCCCGTGGCTAATATTTGTGTCTGAAGAGAGAACCCCGTGCTTCTCTAAAAAAACTTCTTGGGCCAGTTTATGTTGCATTTTTGGTTAAGCTAGCTACAACTTATTCTAAATGCTTTCTAAACTACTTTCTTTTTCAACAGGAGATGGTCGAATTGGTCACTGCAACCAGGGAAACAACATGTACCTATTTCCTGGGTAAGCTGTTGACTATTGACTTCCTGACGTAAGAATTGATCTTTTTGTCTCTATTTTGAAATTTTTTGCCTGTGTGGCACAGAATAGGACTGGGTACACTTCTATCTGGGTCGAGGAACATCTCTGATGGTATGCTACAAGCAGCAGCTGAGTGGTATGTCCTATTTTGAGTAGAAGCTGTTTTAATTGCTAACAAGTATGGTACACGAGATCATTAATTAGTTTGGATTTTAGATCAGATTGACATCATTGTGAAGAAGCAAACCTATTATGCTGTGGCCCGTGTATGTGCCAGCGTGTATTATTTAAAAATGTTATAAGGTTTAAAACCTTTAGATAGCGAGTCTGATGTGTATAAATACAGGTTCAGTTTCTTAAACTAAAATGGTAGAAGAATACTTAAAAAGGATTGGAAAGAAACTATTGAAAACATTATTTACTCAAAGCTGAATGAAAATTGGTGCATTTACTGAGCACGATGGTGTCCTGTGATCTATCCCGCTAAGCTTTTGTTGTCGTAAGTTGTTCGTTTTGTTTAAGTTGCTGTGTAAGCTCTCATTTGCTAATTTGTCTGTTTAATTAGGGGTTTAGGAGCTGAATTTAGTCAATGGCCCTCCATTTTGCCTACAGGCTACATTTGAGTAGCCTCTTTCCAATTGTAATGTCATTGCAGGATATTCTTGACAGCGAACTTGATCATCATTGCTTACCAAAGGCAATAGGGGTCCTAAAGCATATAGAGTTGCATTGCTATTGAGTAATTTAACCTGAAAATGTGGAATTCTTAAATTTTCTGTTTTCTTTGTAAACTTTCAGTTTAGCTGCATACATGACCGAGGAGGAGGTGCAGAACGGGATTATATATCCTCCAATCTCCAGGTGGGAATGAATTGTAGTTGCAGAATTGCTTCAAGCTATGCTTACAGAGCTGTATCTCGTTCAACATTTGGGCTTAGATTTTCTTTTGTACTGACTTAGGTTACTTTAATATGCAGTATACGCGATATAACCAAGGAGGTAGCTGCTGCCGTTATTAAGGAAGCAAGAGAAGAGGGTCTAGCAGAAGGATACCGTGAAATGGACAGCCGAGAGTTGCATAAACTTAACGACGTACAATTTCTTAAAACTCAACTCCACGCTTTTTCTCTGCTTAATGTGCACACTGACACTGTAGTATTTGGCTAGTATGAGTCTTGAAATGCAGAGCTGTATTTATCTTGCATGGGTTTTGATATGACCTATTCCAGATGACATAGCTTTGTTCAAAATATGTGAGAAATGGTTAATAGAGCTCAAAGATGTTCTATGGCACCGGCTTATAATCAAAACATAGAAATGAAGATGTATTAGTCATCGTAAAAGTGCGAATTATTTATTCTCCTGTTGGGATTAGATCATTCAGAGGATCTGAGTGACAATACCTATACCTTTGATATACGTGGATTAGAGTAAGTGTTGGTCTTGTTTTTGCTCTGGTTACAATTCCCCTAACGCTTCGGAATGATTTGCAGGAAGAGATTCTAAAATATGTAGAAGACAACATGTGGAGTCCAGAATACCCAACACTTATTTACAGGGAAGATTGAACATCCCTTCTGGGCGGTGATTGATCCTTATACTCCCTCCGTCCCATAATTATTGTCCAGTTTGCGTTTTTATTTTTAGTTTAAACTGTACTAAAAGTGAAATTTCAAACTGGACAATAATTTTGGGACAGAAGGAGTATAATTTATAAACTTATCTCAACACTTATCATTCTAGAACTGGTGATTGCGCCATTGAATTCATTACAATAATGTGTAATTTGTTTGGGGGCATGAACTATATATATTTTTGTAATGTTGCCTGTTGAGAGATTGTAGTCCGCTGTAGTAGTATTTAGGTTGGATCACGAGATCACACGTTGTAATCTTTTGGCTCTCCTCACGGTTGTGAAGTTCGAGCTCTCAATTTGAATGCTGTATACATATAACGGGTTGCGAATCAATTCGATCAGCAAACTGGCCGATTTGTTTGGCTAATGGCAAATTTCCGTTCTAGTTTCTTCAGATTACAACCTTATACTTTCTCTAAAGGGAGGGATAGGCATTTTAACCCAGGAAGGCTTTCCTTCGAGAATTGAAAGCTATTCCAACCACTCAAAAATAAATCAATGAGAACCAACGTCTATTTCTGCCACCACAGGAAAAATATATGAAAAAAACCATTACTCTTTTGGGAAGCATTGTCTTCTCCCTTTAACGGTGCTATTCCGTTTTCAAATTTCAAAATCAAAGACGTTACAAGATCAACCAAACAAATCACCTTTCCCAGCCACCCAATATAAGTAAATTATTTAATTCTTTTTCTATTATATACTTCTTGCCTATAGGAAGAGCCAGTCATAAATTTGAAACATTTTTTTTCCTTTTTTTTTTTTTATTTCAATAATAAAAATAGAAAAAAGACACAGGCCCACTTGAATTGCGCACCTGGCTTATAACACCCGTGGACCAACCAAACCAGCAACAGTAATATTTTTTCCGTATTAAATTTAGACCGAAATTAAAATTTTTAAAAATTTAATTTACTCATTTTGACATATTTCCATCTTTTCGGGGTTTCAACATTAGTCCACCTTTAGTCTTCTTCATCTCTTCATCACTTCGCGTTAATTTCTCCACCAGCGATTTCTTTGCTTAATCTCGAAGCTTCTTTTTCAGTTTTCTCAGAAACATTCTTTGATTTAACCGATTCGTGTTATTCATTCAAAAAAATTTTCAAGTTTGATTCGCTGAATTCGAGCTAAAGGAAACAGTATCGATGGCGACGATGGAGAGCTTGATTGGATTAGTTAATCGGATTCAAAGGGCTTGTACTGCCCTCGGTGATTACGGTGGCGGTGACACTAACGCTTTCTCCTCCCTCTGGGATGCTTTGCCCTCCGTAGCTGTCGTCGGTGGACAGGTTATTTTTCTACTTCCCCTATCCCCCCGATTTTTTATGTTTGTTTGTGTTCTTTTACTGTTATGGACGAAACTTAAGACTAGCAGATCTGGAGCTGCTCTTTGATTAATTTTTGTTTTTCCCAATTGCAATTGCTTGTAGTGTTGGTTGTTTCGGTATCTTCCTCCTCTTTGCTTCACCTGTTGTCTAAATTTTGAACATAGAACAGAAGGGGAAGTAGCTAACCAACTTTTTCTATGGAAAAAAGTAGATATTCTTTATATATGTTGGTCTGGGTAGCTTTTAGTTGTTCAAATTGCTTTTATTTTGTACCTCCCTCCATTTTGATTATGGGTTTTGGTTCAAAATGCAGAGTTCTGGAAAGTCTTCAGTTCTGGAAAGCATAGTTGGGAGAGACTTTCTTCCAAGAGGATCTGGTAAAGTTTTGCTTTTGATTGAAATACTTGGTTTCCGAGTATACTACGATGGAATTTTGCGACTTTGAAGTTATTGAACGACAATTCTGATGAAGGTTGTGTCTGGCAGGGATTGTTACGAGGCGGCCTTTGGTGTTGCAACTACAGAAGATAGAGGAGGGACAACAGGAGTATGCTGAGTTTGGTCATCTGCCCAGGAGGCGGTTCACTGATTTTGGTATGTTCGTTATTGGTTTTCAGCATGTTCTTTATTTTTGCTATACATTGTCTGCATGGTGGGAATGCAAGCTCTTTATTGTTAGGTAGTCTGGAGGATCCTTAATTTTCTGTGTTACACTAGTGAGGCAGAGGGAATTTATTCTGTCACTGAGTTGTGCTATAACCATTGATTTGTGTAGTGCGTCTGTATATGATTAGCATCTTTTTCTTTTTCAGCTGCGGTTCGCAAGGAAATCTCAGATGAAACTGACAGAATCACTGGGAAGACTAAGCAAATTTCCCCTGTGCCGATTCACTTAAGTATCTACTCCCCAAATGGTATGTAAGAAACTTCTTTAGCGTGTGATTAATGTTTGGCTTCATGGATCATTTGTATGATTTGATAATTTGATTTTCTTCATTGCGAAACAGTGCATGGCATTTTTTTTTTAGAAGTCTCTATGTCTTTGGAATGATGTATCTTTTCTGATGCTCTAATCCTAAAGTGTCACTTTCTACTAATGGTTTTTATGTAGTCCAATTTTTTTTTTTCCCTAAGGGGGGTGCTTGCAAGTTATTTAGACTTGATGATGCATGTTAGTTATCAGACTTAATCCTGCTGAAATTACTGCTCATTTTACTGATGGTATTCTAATGTTCTTTGCAGTCGTCAACCTAACCCTGATTGATCTTCCGGGGCTGACAAAAGTTGCTGTGGGTATGTCAGTTGCTGTATATATTATCTCTAATCTTTTGAGTTTTGACTTTTAAGTTCCTTGTACTGAAAGTCATTTATGTTCTTTTCAGAGGGGCAACCTGAAAGTATAGTGCAAGACATAGAGAACATGGTTAGAACATATGTTGAGAAGGTATGTGTCATTCATTCTCTGCTGCCTAATATAAAATAATTGAATATTTTTACATTCATCTTTTGCTGGAATTTGCTTAACCTGCTACGATTTGTTTTGAAAATTTATATTCTGTTTGTTTTGTAATTTTGATTGGGCCTTGGACAAATTTATTGCATATGGAAAACAAATGAATCCATAACATCTTGGAAATTTGTCTTTAATGAGGTTCTGTGACTTATTAGATGTGGTTGGGATCATGTAAGCTTTCCCATGTCACATTTTAATTCACCTAAAACACATCTTTCTGGATTTGATGATGCTGATTCACCATCGTTTAGGCATGTCTCTAGAAGTTATCTGCAAGATATCTCTTGTGCTTTTCATGATTCTATCTTATACTCTTCAATTTGTCTGGCTACATTGTGAAGCCCAACTGCATCATACTGGCTGTTTCTCCTGCCAATCAAGATATAGCTACATCAGATGCGATAAAACTGGCAAGGGAGGTGGATCCTTCAGGTATTATATGTTCTAGTGGGTTCTGTTTTGATTCTTCCCATGTGTGTCTTTTAGTTCTCTTATGCTACATGTGGGGACTTTGCAGGTGAACGGACGTTCGGTGTACTCACAAAACTGGATTTGATGGACAAAGGAACAAATGCATTGGATGTAAGTATTACCTTTCATATTTTTGACTTGCAGCTTTGATACACTGCTACACATCCACTTCTTTACATATATTAGAATTCTAAAAGAACAATTACTTTTTTTGGTTTATTGATGTATCAGTTTATAAAATGAAGATATGGATGAATAGAACATTTTGTTAAGAAAATTCTAATGCTGGCTGTTATGTGTAATTAGTAATAATTTGCGCGTTTCCCAGGTTTTTTTTTCCTTTTATTTTTTTTGATAACAGTTTCTTCGGTCCCTTCACTAATCTGATGTATTTTTCTTAGGTGCTTGAAGGAAGATCCTACCGTCTACAAAATCCATGGGTGGGTATTGTAAACAGGTCACAAGCTGACATCAATAAGAATGTCGACATGATTGCTGCAAGAAGGAGGGAGCGAGAATATTTTGCGACTAGTCCTGACTATGGCCATCTAGCCAGTAAAATGGGTTCTGAATACCTCGCAAGACTTCTGTCAAAGGTATAACATTTTCGTTAGGTTGCTCTTAATTTTATTATTCAAGCTGTATGAGAAAACTGATGGTAAAAGATTTCCACTTCAGCACCTGGAGTCTGTAATCAGGGCAAGAATACCAAGTATCACTTCCTTAATAAATAAAAGTATTGAGGAACTTGAATCTGAGATGGACCACATGGGAAGGCCTATTGCTGTTGATGCTGGGGTGAGCTGCCTCAATATCTCTATTGTCATTCTGAATTTTTAATTGTTGTCAATATTTTGTTAATAGGAATTTTTCTGATTCCAGGCTCAATTATACACTATCTTGGAACTTTGCCGTGCTTTTGATAAGATATTCAAGGAGCATCTCGAGGGGGGGTAAGGAACATATTTTCTTATATTATATTTAGTACTAAGTATATTTAAGAAGAGAATTTATCTTCTTTGTTTCATTGTTCATACTATTATTTCTTTGTGGTTTGAACTTCCTTATGTGATGCTTGGATTGCTGTTATTATTTTTGTATGAACTATGGTCTCCTACATCTTTATTGAAAGTTGATAATATGGTGGTCTACGACATCTTTATTGAAAGAGTTGATAGCATTGAAAGGCTTTTGAAGATATATTGGGATTTGGGAGATTTTTAGTGCAGAAATAATAATAATATACCATACCACAATTACTTCTGAAGTTTGGTGTCTAATCAGGAAATGTGCTGAGAGTTAATCTTTTTTTTATTCATTTTTAGAAATATTTGATTCAATTTAATCTATCAAGATCTGATGCATTTGATTCATTTTGATGTACATAAAATGGCTAAAAGTGTCAATGCATAGGGTTATCCGCTGATAGGGCAGTTTTTATCTAACTTTTTCACTCTCTATCTCCGTGGCACTGGGTTATATATGGCTAATTAAGGATTTGATAATGTTTTACTATTCAGTGTTAACTATCTTCTTGGATGCTGTTTGAAGTTTGATGGCCCCAAATGGTTTAATCTTACTTCCGTCGTAACAGTTTGGGTTGTATTTTTTTGAGGATATAAATGAGAATGAATTTCTTGTTTATGGTATTTGTTGTATCACTTTGCTGTTAATTTTTAGTAGCTATTTTGGTTCAAGTTACAGCACTTACATGTGGACTTTGTTTCTGTACCAGGCGGCCTGGTGGTGATCAAATATATGGTGTTTTTGATAACAAGCTTCCTGCTGCTTTGAAAAAGCTTCCCTTCGATCGACACCTTTCCATACAAAATGTAAGAAAAGTTGTCTCAGAGGCAGATGGTTACCAACCACACTTGATTGCCCCTGAACAAGGTTATAGACGGCTTATTGAAGGAGCATTAAATTATTTCCGAGGTCCGGCTGAAGCTTCTGTAGATGCGGTGAGTTGATCTCTTCTGTGCTTTCTTGTGCGTTCTGTCGCTCTTTCTCTGATTTAACTCATGTTGAAACGGACTGCAGGTTCACTTTGTCTTAAAGGAACTTGTGAGGAGGTCAATTGGAGAATGCCAGGTCAGGAGACCTTCTATCTGTGATGATCTTGAGTTTCCGTATTATATTCATCATAATTAATTGACTTTGAGCTTCCACATATTCTGAACAGGAATTGAAACGCTTTCCAAGTTTGCAAACTACAATAGCTGCAGCTGCTAATGAGGCTTTAGAAAGATTCCGTGATGAGAGTAAGAAGACTGTCATTAGATTGGTGGACATGGAGTCTTCTTACCTTACCGTGGATTTCTTTAGGAAACTTCCTCAGGAAGTGGAAAAGCCAGGAAATGTAGCTGGAGCTAATGCAGCTGCTGCCGCAAATATTGATCGTTACGCTGAAGCTCATTTCAGGAGAATTGGATCAAATGTATCATCTTACATCAATATGGTGTCTGACACACTTCGGAATACCATCCCAAAGGCTGTGGTTTATTGTCAAGTCAAAGAAGCAAAGCAGTGTTTATTAAATCACTTCTATGCCCAAATTGGGAAAAGAGAGGTATTCCACTTCATCAACTTTGTGCAAAATTTTTATATTTCCATTCTTTTCTACGTGATGGACTGGTCAGAAAGACCTGAAGTTTATATGAGATTTGGTTTTGGGTTTTTGTTGCGTTGATGTGTCACATGCTGTATCATTGTTTTCACTTCATTGGGCTGGTGCCCATGCTTTGACTACTTTAAATGCATTTAAAAATCTTGAACATTACATATTCCAAAATTTTCGGAGTTTTTGGGGATTCACCCGTTAATGGTTAACTTGACGAAACTCTTAATGGTTAACAAGCAACTCGTTGGATCAGTTTTGTATTTGAGGAGATTACTTGTTAATTATGGGCTTGGTTTGAGCTGTCTGTCTTATGGGTTCATTGCCTTATTTGAGAATTGTTTGAAGATGGAACTGTTAAGAGACATTTTTGGTTTAGTTTTGTGATGGCATTATTTGTTATCTGATGAATCAGGGAAAACAGCTTTCTGAGTTGCTAGACGAAGATCCTGCTTTGATGGAGAGGAGACTCCAGGTTGCGAAGAGGCTTGAACTTTACAAGAAAGCGAGGGATGAAATTGATTCTGTGTCATGGGCGAGATGATGACCCAGAACTTAGGTATGTTAGCGATGATTTGTAATATATAACTACATCCAGATGTGCGGCAACTACTCAATTATTTGGAACCATTTGACTGGCTGAGATTCTTTTGTTTGTAAAATTTGTGCTCCATTTTGGATTGTTTTGGTCTATCAGGGTTGTTTCGCTACGCCCCCTATGTAATATTTCAGACGATTATTTAGTGAGAATACCATCCGGTATGCCTCGTAGTGTTTAGAAAGTTCTGAGAGTTATTTCTTCCCAGGCGTTTATTTATTTTATTTAATTTTTTTTTTTCTGTTTTGCCCTCCTAGCTTTCTTTAACAAACAATATAAGCATTTATGGTTCGATTCTGCTCGCTTAGCGACGTGTTCCTTATTAACAAAATTGCTGAGCCACCCATGATACAAATTTAATCCTTATCTCCCGGTACTTCTGAACTAAATCATTTGTAGCTCGGTGATTTGTGGGTTTTGTTATTATATTAAGTAAGACGGAAGGGTATTAAAAATTAAAAAAAGTCAATATTTATATTCAGAAGGCTACAAACCACAACGGATTTCTTAACCAAGACTGATTAGTTTATGATACCGACAGACTGAAACAAAAAAAAGTACCTGAATTAAAAAAGCCTGACAAAATATTGGTGGACTATGACCTCTGAGCAGCTCCCAGCGAATAACAAAGCAAAGCCATTCATTCATTCCACATGTACAATTAAACTAGGAATTCCACACCAATTGCGCAGTAGAAATGCAAACACCCACGTTTTCTTTGTCGATCCGGACGATGAAAAAAACTCTGTTTGGTCATCATTTCTCCTCTGCATTATCATTATCAGTCCCTCCTGCTGTTTCATCCAACCGGTTCTGTACCATACCATTTAGCCAGAATATTAACCCCTCCAGTATGGTGGTTACTGCAAAAGTGGCTCCCCAAGCTGGGATTTCCACTGAACTTACTTCTCAAAGGTAACCCTTTCGATCCATACCATTTTCTCTTTATTCTGTCTTCTTTGCTTCTGTGAATTGTTACACTGTCACAAGTTTGATGGCCCTTTTCTTGTTTAGGGATATTATATTTAATTCCTTTCTAGAATAAAATGGTAGTAAAATGCATAATTTGGTCCTTTCAGGCAATCTGTTAGGGTGGAAACGATATTAAAAGGCTCATGCTTGTGATTAATCATGTTAAATATCAATCATTTGTATCAGTTCTCACGTGGGTTTTTGTTTATTCTGAAGCAAGAGTTCTCTATCTGTTCTTTCACCTCTGGAAGCGATTTTGTTTGATATTGATGGCACACTTTGTGATTCAGATCCACTCCACTATGATGCTTTCAGGGAAATGCTTCAAGAGGTTGAATATTAATCTGTTCTCTCTTTTTATGGCTTTTGTTACTTTGATCTGAATGTTCTTGATTGTGATTTATTTTGAGAGCTGTTGACTAATGTAAGAATATATTGGCAGGTTGGTTTCAATGGAGGACAGCCAATCACTGAGGATTTTTTCGTGAAAAACATAAGCGGTATGCATAATGATGAACTCTGTCATGTCCTCTTCCCGGAATGGGATTTTGATAGAGCCATGAAATTTATGGAGGACAAGGAGGCAATGTTTCGCAGGTACTTTACAAGGCTAGACTTTTCTGCTATTTGTAATCAAAGGTGCATTTTGGTTCCTTTAAAATTTGGCTGCCTTATGTGAATCACTGCATGGAACATAGCTTTTCTTTACCATCTAATCAATGCAATTGGCAAAAACTTGCATCGGCAAAGTGCAAATAATTGAAGGTTTGAGGAATCGTGGCGATGATAAGTTTTCTTGAAAACTCTTTTAACAGATTGGCAGCGGAAGAATTGAAACCTGTAAAAGGCCTTGATAAGTTGTGTCAATGGGTTGAAGAGCGTGGCCTGAAGCGAGCTGCGGTTACTAATGCTCCAAGACCAAATGCTGAGCTGATATTATCTATGTTGGGTCTCAATGATTTCTTTGAACTCCTTGTGATAGGAAGTGAATGCGATCGAGCAAAGCCTTTCCCTGACCCTTACTTAAAGGCTCTTGATGTACTCAAAGTTTCCCCTGAACATGCCTTTGTGTTTGAGGTATAAAACTTTAACACACTGAACTCTTTTCTTTTCGCACCATTTATGTGAATGCCTGTCCTTTTGTTCTTTCAATCTGGCAATATCGAATTTGGCATACGACTGACAATTTTGTTGCTGTGAATGCGAAGGACTCAATATCCGGGATAAAAGCTGGGGTTTCAGCTGGCATGCCAGTAGTCGGTGTAGCTTCAAGAAATCCGGAAACTCTGTTGATGGCTACAGGGGCTACATTGGTTATCAGAGACTTTGAAGACTCAAATTTATGGGGAGCTTTGGCTGATCTAGAAGCCAGAACCAGGCAATAGAAAGAAATAAGCTGTGGGTTCCACAGCTCACAGAAAGTTTCCTCAAATATGCAAGAATCTATATGGGACTGCTAAATCTTTTTCATTGTATCAACTCATTCAAGATCTGAATTATGGAAAATTCCGCACCCCACCCCTTTTAGATAGCTACTACAAACTTACTGGTCATATGTTAGAATATCCTTCCACCACAAACTGAAACTTCATTCACCAAAACATCATCTAAGTTGATGACAGGTGATGATATTACCACTTCAAATTAGGCTATCAGCAACCATGATGTAGTACTCTATGACTTGGAACGTGAGTCGTCTTCTTAAAACTACACTGCATATTGTTAGTTAGCTAATAAGTTCATCTTTGTGTTTGACTGCTTTTCAAGATGACATGTTTTCTGTAGTTGAGAGATAAGCCGATGACGATGATGACAGGAGAGGAAAATTTGTAGAAGAACTTGATAGAATCTCTCTGGCCTTTCCACAACCATGGAACTACCGGTGTGAAGTGATTGAAAGGCAAAAATACTAGGTTCCTTTAATTCTTGAAATTCTAAACATACTATTATACTAATGAACACAAAGTAATATAGCTCTTCTTTTGTCTTTCTTACTCTTCTAAAAAAAAAAATGCACTTTGGTGTATTATTGAAACTCCATCATTGATTTAGTACTAGTTTTGTTGTCATGTGAGCGACATATTTGAAAGTAGTACTGGTAATAATTAAGTACTGGTAATAATTAAGTGAAAGTAGTACTGGTAATAATTAAGTTATATATTCAAAGGAAAAAAAAAATTGATATAAATTCTTTAATTTTCTCAAAAAAAGTATAGAATTAGCCTTTCAAAGGGAAGTTGTCTTCTTTTCTTCTCAACGAAAAAGAAATTAAAAAAAAAAAATGAAACAAACAGATTTTAGTGAGGCTGATTGACTGATGAGCGCCATAGCTCTTTAGTCTTTTACTAATCCTCTCGGTTTTGGCGGGAAAATTTCATTATCCCATTCGCACCCAAATCCCGCGAATTCTTTCTCCGCCAGGCACCACCTTCCGCCGCCCACACTTAGGTCGCCGTCTGGAAACACCTCTCATCAAACCCTCAATTTACAGCAGCAAATCATTCACCGAGGTAACTTACTCTTTTGTCAAAGATTGAATCTTTTGTTTGTACTTTGTAGTCCTGATTTTTGATTCAGAATCCCTATAATCATTGTGTAAAATCAAAAGGAACTGTAATCGATTAACATTCATCTTAATGCTTTGATCTTAGGCTATATCATTTCTGGAGTGGCACAATTGAATCTTGGTGCCTTAGGTTTTGCTATTGATATAGATTTAGGAGTAATAACACTAAGAGGAGAGGGATGGAGGTAGAGACGGAATTAGAAAATATGAAGGACAGAGAGGGAGGAGCTGAATTAGTTCTGAATCTTCAACCAAGTTCATCGATTTCAATTGGTTATCATTCTTCCTTTGGTCCTCATGATGACCTAATTCTCCTGGAGCTCGATGAGAAGCTTCTTCCTGACTTTCTTCATGAAAGGTTTGAATTACTAATTGCTTCTGTTGTGTTTGTTCCAAAAAATGGATTATTGTTTTAATGTTATATTTTCGGTTAATTCTGTAATGAAGTACTGTCTTCGCATCTTTTAGGGTAACTTTGAGAGGTCAGCCTAATGAAGATGCAGTTCTTTGTACCACATCGAAAACCTATGCGGTTAAGTTTGTTGGGAACTCGAATTCTGTATTTCTTATACCCCCTTTGGATCTATTTCCTTCATGTGGGAGTACACAGGAGTATGAGGAAACTAGTAGCAAAGACTTGAAGGTTGCTTCCATTATCAAAGTTGCACCTGGTAACATGGAGCTCGTTGAAGTTGCTCCAAAGTTGGATAAGCTTAAACTTCTTCTTTCTCAAAATCCATACAATTTTGGTGATAGTTCAGAAATGGAGGGAATAGAAGGTGATGACAGGACTGATGCTAATTTGTACAGATGGGAGGATCTAGTTGACAGGATTCAAGCTAGTGACATGGAACTGAGATCTGGGTTAAATGCTATATTTGCTGTAGAGATAAATGGATATTGGAGGACTCTTGATGAAAATTATAAGGATGGGATTCTGAACATGCTTTTGCATAATTCAGTACTCAATGATTGGTCTTTGAATTCACTTTATGAAGATGAAGTTGTGGCTGTACTAGTAGCTGATGGCTATCCCAGTGAAATTGCCAGACACTGTCTGCGAATGTTTGGGAGCAAGGTTAATGAGGGGGTTGGTCCCTCTTGTTGGAGGTTGGATGAAAGATGTGTGTGCCTGCATTTTGCTAGAAGAATCTTAGGAGCAGGAAAGATGAAGTTGGAAGCTTTTATGGATGAGTGGGTGAACAAGGTTCCATCAGGCATGCATGCAACCTTTGACATGTTAGAAGGTGAAATTTTGAGCGAAAAGCAAGGCATAGAAACTTGGATTCATGCCTTCAGTGTTTCCTCTCTACCATCCACCCCTGCTGAACGTTTTTCATTGCTTTTCCATAAGAAGCCAAAGTGGGAATGGAAGGATTTACATCCATATGTCAGGTCTGTTTTTGTCTCTCTCCTGCACTTCTTTGCTCTATGGTTTCTTTGACAGCACTTAGCTTACAGTATCCTTTTGCTTTTGTTTGTTTTATAGGGATCTGAAAGTGCCAGGACTTTCTTCAGATGCCTTACTTCTCAAATATACTCGCAGAACACAGCCAACTTTGGATGCAGAACCTATTTTTACAGCAAGATAATCTCTGAATTTGGGGTAGTTTCATTCTTAAGGTTAGTGGGTACACAGTAATACAGGTCTTTGTGTTCAGATGTGAGTTCTACACAAATGTGACAATATAAATATGTTTTGGGAATTTTATTTTGCTTTTTTCGTTTGTGAGCTTAGTATAGGGGATTGATATACTGAGAATTTTCCATCGTTTTTATGTTATTTCCTAATTGGTTGACAATTGTATATGCCAGCAGTCCAATGTCGAAGTGCCATTGGAAAGTATGCATGCTGTGATCATCTGTTGAAATGATCCTTTCGTTGACTAAAAAACTACTGTAAGGAACTCAAAACTTCACTTTTGTTTGATTGAACCTGCTAGACCATTGAAGAAACTCATACTTGAAGTGTTCTAATCAAAGGGTGATGTTAACTTTGAATTAACTTTCCTAAATGCTAGGTGACTGAATTTCAATACTTAAATAATGCATTAGTGCCACTTATTTGGTCAATGAGTTTATCTTCAACTGTGAACATAATTATCTGAGAATATATTCTAATTTCTACCTACAAGAGAGCTCCAAACTACACGGGGTGCTTTTGACACCAACAAAGGGGCCAATCAATACTGGAGATAATATATAGTGAATACGGGAACTCTATTCCAATACCATATACTGGGATCATATTTTTTAATGAGTAATGATGGTATGATACCCTTTTCAACAGCTGTTTATGATGCCTCCCTTCATCCAAAAGTACTCGTAAAATAAATACTATCAATAATATATTTTTTTTTAGGGTATGTTTGGAAATTTTTGACAAAAAATACATTAGAATTCAAAAACGATACTTAATTTGAAATTTCTCTATTTTGTTAAAACGACACTTTTTTTAGAATGGGAGGAATAGTAATTTATCAAGGTTCCCATTTCCAATGGCAAATGCTTTCTGTATGGTAGGAAGCCTTGATGATTATGTAACTTTTTACCTTTTTTTTTTTCCCTTTTAAATGTAAAAGCAGATTTAAAAAGCAAAACAGAATGCAACATTACATAAAGTGGTTAGCGATTGAGCATCATGGGTTTCTAAGCAATTGACTTTGACTGGTCGAGTGCCTTTAAAACACATCCAAGCAAAGTTTTAGAAGAATGTAATTTTTTCTTATTTACTATATTATTTCTCGATTCTGTGTCTGCCAATCCTCCGAAGGAATGATTGCTCAGCATAAACCTGGAAAATTATACTACTAATTTCCTCATCATGTCATCAATTGCAAAAAAAAAAAAAAAAACCCAATCCCGGCCCAAATACAGTTAAAAAATAAAAAAAGAAAAAAGAGGGAATCGTATGCATGAAACTGTAGCATTAAAGAAATGCTATAAAGGACAATTTTCACAAAATCATGCCACTTTATTTCAATTATTATCTACCTTAAGGAAGACAATGCAACATGTTTTTAACATCTTTCGATCCTAAAAAATAATTTATATTATAAATATAATATGAATTATTTTTAAGATAGCCGTTCATAATTATCAAATAATAATTTAATTAATTTTAGTGTTAATTTTTGTTAAATTAATAACCAAAAAAGAGAGAACAAGGATTAATTATTTGGGAAGGTTTTTTTTTTTTTTTTGGAGTCTCTAAATGTGCTAAAAATTCCTTTTACCTTGAACAAAATTGCTCATTTAGTAGTACTAAATCTCAGTATTTGCAATAAATTCTCCAACAAAATTGTACTTCTACTTGTGTTGTTGCACATTGATAGGAGTAGTAATTTAATCACTAACTACCATTTTAAAAAGAGGATTTTTTTTTTTAAAAAAATACCCAAATTGATGGATACAGATTTGTTTGGCCCAAAAAGAACAAAAGAACATGGTATGAAAAAACACCTGGCGCTTTTGTTATAAAAAAGAGGTCTTTTAACTGCCAAACTGGTAAATGTCGGTGGCTTCCCGCTAATAATAGACAAACAACCAAACCACAACCAACCGAAATTAACCGCCGCTGGCCGCCATCAGCTCCGACGGCCACGGCGGCGACGACGGTGTCTTTTCTTTGTCCGCCACCGATTTTTCAACCAAATTTACAGTCTCCTTTCACCTCGCACGTGTGCGTCGGGGGACTAATTCCTTCCTTTACGACACCGTTCCAGTCTCAAATTGCACGCAACCTATTTGAACTTTATTCCCCCAAATATAGAAAATAGGAAAAAAAAAAAAAAAAGGAAAAATTACGTACGACGGGAGAATTTTCCCCCTCTCCTCATAGCCACCCTATAAAAATCGTCCCTCCCCACTTGTGTTTATAGTTCATTCATACCATTCTGCTCTGTCTCCTTAATTCATTCATCCATCCATCCATCATCATCACAATTTCCTCCTGCCCCTTCACCAGGTACCAATGATCTCTTTCACATAGATCTTGTTCACTTTTAACTCTCTTTTTTTCGCCAACCCATATCGATTTTTTCATAATTTTCACGTTTTTTTCGTGTAAAGTTCCCACCTTTGCTCCAAATGCAACCTTGCATTTAGCTGAATTTTGAATATCTGTGATGACATTCGTGGTTTGCTTTGATCTGGGTAATGTTGGTTGTGTTTGATTGGATTTCCGAGTTGCTTTTCTCTGTGTGATTACGCCAGATCTTATATCAGTTGATTGGACATTGTACAATTTTGATCTTGCTTTAGCTCTGGAATATAATTTCGATTAGGCTGTGATCTTAGCGATCTCAATAGTGAGGAATGGTTTCCCTGGATGCTTTTATAATGCATGTTCTGGTTGTATTTTAGGTGGATCTGTGCTTGATGCCAATCGTTTAGGCTTTTGTACTGTCTGTAGTTGAATTTGTGTTGTTAATCAATGCCAATAAGCAGTGCAAATGAGTGTATTAAAGGTCCATACACCAAATTGTGTTTACCTTCTGGATTCATATTTGAAAGCTGAGGGACTACCTGGGTTGGAATATTCAGGAAGTGATGTTAACTCCGCCAAAGAGAACTTCTTTAGATATTTCATTAATCAATATTGTAATTTCTTTTGATGTTTTGGCTTAAGGCTATCATCATGTCACCTTGCAAAGTTTTAAGGTTTAATGTTGAAGATTGATACCTTCAGTGTGTTTATAGCATTACATACCACTCATATCAATTCTTTGAAAACCAAAGACTAGATCTTGTGTAATTTGAATTTTTAAATCTGGTAAATAGAAGGTGGACAATATGTGAATCATTTTTTTTTTTCTATTTGTCAACGGGTAGATCATAACAAGTTTATTTACTCTATTCTGATTTCTTTCGATGTCTTATGTTGATTTTTGGTTACCCTGCAGATTTTCAAGGTACCAAGTCTTAGTTACTGCAGATGGGAACTGTTGTTGATGCCACAAACAAGGTTGTTCTGATCAATCTTCTTTGGCTATTATTATTCAAACTGTTGAAGCCTCTCTTCAATATTTAAGTGTTGTTTTTTATTAATCCATCATGTAATGAGCTTTTATGTTCGACAAAGCAATGAACTCATATCAATCAATGATTTTTTCATTGAAGTATGTAGTGTTCCTAAAAATATTGGGTAAATCTCCTAAGGGACAATCTGGGGGATTTACTCGTTTATTTTTATTTTTTGCATTATCTGACATGTAATATTAACTTATTGTAGGAAGGAAATGGTGCTGTTTTAGGTGACAAGAATGTGACTGTTGTCTTTGTCTTGGGTGAGTATGTTGATAATTGTTATCTCTGAATTTTTTCTCTCAATTGTATCGAGGAAGATCGATAATGATTTTTATCTCTTTTGAAAAAAAAAAAAAAAACAGGTGGTCCTGGTAGTGGCAAGGGGACCCAGTGTGCAAACATTGTGAAGCATTTTGGGTACACCCACCTTAGTGCCGGTGATCTTCTTAGAGCAGAACAAAAATCTGGTTCAGAAAATGGGTAGATTCTTCTGCATATAATTTTATTTGTGGCTTCCATTAATTACTGCTGTGTTAGAATCTGTGGCTTTTGCACTTGGTCCATAGTGTTAACTTCAACTATGGCTGATATTTCCATAGTTGCTGCTAGCAATACTGTTGATACATAGTCTTTCAACTGTGGACATGGATATAATTGTAGGTTGGTTTCTGGATTGACATTTTGTATTTGGCATGCTCATTAATATTAGTTAGTTAGGTAAAAATGTTCAAGATGAATGAACACTAGTATCAAAGCCTCTCTCAGTGATTAGGGGTGCTAATTTTTTCTGAGAGGACTAATTGCTTTTTTTTAAGTGGTTGCATCATCGAATGGGAATCTTATATATAAACTAATCAATATAAGCTGCATCCAGAATTTTGTACAATGTAGATGATATAGCTTATGTAACTTTCAAACTCTACATTTGCGATATACCCCCAGCTACATCAATCATAAGTGGTTTTTCGTCTCCTCTGTTAATAGGACAATGATTCAGAACATGATCAAGGAAGGAAAGATTGTACCCTCCGAGGTGACGGTTAAGCTTCTCCAACGAGCTATGGCGGAAAGTGGAAATGACAAATTTCTGATTGATGGTTTCCCCCGTAATGAGGAAAACCGGGCTGCTTTTGAGTTAGTCGTAAGTTTCCTTTGACTATTTCTTTTGATTACGTGCATTTGTCCAGTTGTATTAATGAAATCGATTTTTCTTCCTGTTGTATGCTGTAATTCATTCGAACTTACTGCTCTTGAATCCTAGACCAGTACATCTTACAAATTGTACCATCATTTTATTCTTTTGCAGACTGGAATTCAACCAGCTTTTATTCTCTTTTTTGATTGTCCTGAAGAAGAGATGGAGAGGCGCCTTCTTGGTAGAAACCAGGTGAGACATGAACTTGTGTAGAAAGATTTCTTGTTTTATCCATTTTCCCTGCAACTTTCATTGACTTTCACTTTGTTTCTTCCCCCTTTGTTTCTGTAATATTGACAACTTTTGCATTTGTATCTTTTCCTCATCTAGGGAAGAGAAGATGATAACATTGAGACAATAAGGAAACGCTTTAAAGTTTTCTTGGAATCCAGTCTTCCCGTGATTGAATATTACAATTCCAAAGGGAAAGTTCGAAAGGTAATATTGAGTGCATATCGGTAGCGTACTCATTCTATGTGTGTTTGCATTATAAACAAATAGCAAATACTTGAGAGAACCGTGTGTAACTTGGAATTTCTGTGCAGATTGATGCTGCCAAACCCGTTGAAGAAGTTTTTGAAGCAGTTAAAGCTGTATTCACCACACCTGATGACAAGGTATAGGCTCATAAACAATTTTTATGCTCCATGCTGTAGAGTGCAATTCGAACCTTGAAAAACAGAGCCATGTTGTTCTCGTGTAACTGTTGATGTGTTTCATTAGTACTTCGTGAGCACCGCCATTTCTACGTGCTAGGAATACGAAATTCTACATTCTTCTTGAGGTGGCAGCTCGTTTTGAAATTTTTTTTTTACCTTGCATTGTAATTGCCGGGAACATCATTCCTGCCAGTACTTTTACCATTGTGGCGATAAATGGAGGAAGCCTTGGTCAATTCGCCAAGATGGGGATGAGACAGAAGACAACTAATATAACTTTCTAATTGTGTAGCAAATAATGAAGCAATGATGCCTGGTTTAGGAATATTTTGCCTTGTAGTTCCTGTAGTTGACTAAGAGAAAAGTATTTTAAATATTGATCCAGCAAGACACAAGAAAAGTATTTCTTGTGTCTTGCTGTTTGAGCTTAATAACATCGATTGTGATCTTATTGATGGTTTTTATGTTGTTTGCTAAGTTTGGTGATGTTGGAAAGTGAACCTACTGGCTTCCTTTTCTCATGGAAAACCCGCTTCATAAGATTTCTACTGATTGATGCATGAAACTGATGCTCGTTGCTCAAATCAGATGTGTAGAGTAAACTATCATTTGTATGTAATTAATGTTTAATTTAGTGTTATCACTGTTTCTTCTATTACAATATTGTGGTGTGCTGGTGTTCTCCTTCCGTCAAATTAGGAGGAATACATCAATAGTTATAATGACTCTTGAATATCATCTGTATGTTCCTCTCGTAGCCCGTAGATTAATTTGTAAATTTTTGTTGCAGGTTACTGTCTAAAATCATAGGATACTGTTGTTTCAAGGTTTTCAATATGGTAAGTTGTTTGGACTCTTACCATTTGCTGTGGTAGAAAAATTCTTTCTAAAGTTTATGTCTACCAATGAAATTTTCTTTGTTGGTTTTGCAACTTGAATTTTCTTTATAAATACTTTTACCACGTCATGCTTCTGTCTGTATGCAAACCATTACTAATGATTCAGAGTAAACATTGTTCTTGTATTGTATGGAATGCAAAGACTGGCTCAAATGTAGGTGGTTGAACCCCTTTAGCAAGAGATGAGCTTTGCTAAGATCAGAAAATTCAGTTTACTTCGATAGATTACAGAAGGAATCAAGAGTTCTTGCAGCTCAAATACATATTAGCTGAATGCAACCTTTCAATTAAGTTCATAGAACTGGTGTTGTGAAAACCACTTTGTTCTTTGATGTACTAACAATAATCATACTTTTTGGTTGCCAAAGATGCATAGTTGGCAAAATGGTTGGGCTTTGATTAGATTTTGAACTTTTGTGACCCATTGAGTTAAATGTTAATTCATTTTCTCTCAGAATGTCTTGTTTTTTCCAGTCAAAGCTTACACTTGGTTTTCATGCTCAACTGCAGGTTTCATGATATGGGCAGCACATTGTTGTACTATGTTATCTAATATACTCGTCGCCGCTATACTTGCAACTTGAATAGGGTTCATTTGGGACTTCTATCTTCGATTTTTAAAAGAGAATTAGTGATAATGTTATAGCTTCTGAGGCTTTTGTCTCTATATTTGTCTTCAAAGATATTTTTGGTAATAAGATTTTGAGTTTCTATGTTGAGTGTTACGCGTGTCTTCTTCCATTACTTGTGTTATTCAACTGTAATTTGCACTTACTTCGTACGAGAAAAATAGTTCAATTTGTTGAACTAAAACAGTACAATTAGGTGGACTATGTTTCTGAAATAGAAGAAGTAGCTTTCAACAATCGTCCGTGGTTTTTGCTCATAAAGAGAAACCTCGCTAATCTTGTAACGGAGCCAGCTTTCTAGATGTTACATGAAGTGTAAAACTGGAGCAATTGGAGTGTTTAGGTTTAAACTTGTTAGAGAGTTAGCTCCATGTCTCGTTGTCAACAAAACTGGAACATTTGTAATTTTGACAAGATGAATTCTAGTCAGCATGAACAAATGAAATACGCAGAACAAATAATTCTCATTGACTCAAATTAAGTTATCTTAATCAAATTATTTTCATATAATAATCAGGATACTTATTTTAAAACGGGGAAATATGATAAAAAGTTTTCTAAGTTCCACAATTGGTTGACCAACTAATACAAATGTCTCACTCAATGCCACATTATTTTCTTTTCTTCTTTTTCTTCGTCTTCTGATCTGATTATCATTTCTATTTTGATTTAAAAGTGCAAAATGTATTAACCTAACCACATTGTGGTAGACTGGAGTGAATGTTTTTTTAAAAATATTTACCTAATATTGAATCCTAATTATGGTTTAAAAAAAAATGAAAGAAATAAATAAAGGGTTTGACAGCAACATAGAGCTCATGTAATTATATGATAGCTTAAGAGTAATTTTCGTCCGGGCTTTGGTTTGGGCTTTGGCATTTAACCTGGGAGACCCAAGTTCGAACTTGCTAATAATACTTTCAGTATTGAGTTTGTGTATGTTTGTTTGAATCCGCAAAGAGGCTTTCCAAGTACCAAATAGAGGTGTGCGCGCGTGAATTCTCTCTCCTTAGTAGTACTATCCCCTTTCTCATAAATCCCACCCATATGTAATAAATTAGGTACTTGTAATTGTACGTAAAAAAAAAAAAAGACACATTGTTCACTAAATTTGCAATAAGTTGACTTTCTCGTCGGGTTTAAGATCTCGACGCATAATGCGACGAAGGATTTACTGGCATCTTGCAGGCTTTGTTATTTGATGAACTTCAAATAGGTCAACAGTTGAGTTGAGGCAAACATTCTTGCCTCGTTGTGTGCATCACGTGGAATGATGCCTCGTTGTTTCTGTTGAGCGCACGGCCTACAAAATTCAAGAATTCTTTGAAGCAATTCTATAAATTTTCCGTTGTGGTTAATGTTAGTGTAATTTAAGGGATATGATTATAAATAACTGGTGATTTAGTTTTAGTTGATTTATTATAAGATAATCCGACCATCTTAAAATTTTTTATGATGATTATTTGGGTAATCGATTTTTCTCTAATAAAATTTCAAACAAGTAGTAAAAGCAAAACTCTAATTAGAATAATAAAATTCTCAACAATTATCGTTGACTTCTTTCGTCATGACCTCTCATGGTAGCTCATTCATAGCTTCGGTACTTAAATCTCTTTTCATGAAGATACTGCATAGCATCGTTAAGTAGTGTATTCCCTTCGTCTCAAACTCTTTACGAATGTCAGGGATCAGTTTGTTAAGATCAGAATAAAACTTAAGATTTGATACTTAGCTAGTTGTGTCATGTCTACTTGTTCATTATGATTAAGTCGACAAAGGCTTAACTTACACTATGTTTTTAGACTCTGTCGAGTTATCATCATTGAGCTTAACAACCCACAAGTGCTTAACTTGTGTTAATTCGAGTTTTGTCGTCGGATCGATAGCTTGATGACTAAGTCGACGAAGGCTTAATTAGCATTTCGTGGACTTCTTAATCGTGCCAGTTTGACTATTAAGCCAACATACCATTTTCCCCTTCCACATTCACAAAAATTGAATTATGTAGACAGTAGACTCCATCATCGGGATTAAAAGCTCAACGAATTCTTTACTTGCATTTCTTTGGCTTCAGCGTCAAGAACATCTGCACAATGACTAAATCGACCAACAGAGGCTAACTTGCATTTCCGTAACTTTGTCATCGAGCCAAGAGAGCTCCATGAATTCTTGTCACTTTATCTAAGCAAAACTTACAGCTTGCTGATTTTATGTTTGATATCAAGCTAAGGAGTAAGTTGCTGAAGTATCAAGTCATTGACTGGATCATGAGCTAGATTTTCCAAGTTTCTTATGCTGGAAACTCATTTTTCTTCTCCTATCCAACTTAAAAAAATCGATTTTACTAACGAAATCGTACTACCAGCACTTTCAATTGAACATTCTGGATTACAGGGAGTTACACTCTTCCCACCAATATTCTAAGTGATGTGGTTCAAATTACATGCTATAACTTTACACTAACCCAAAGATTAAGCCTCAGCAAGGACTTATAGATAAAAAGGTGTAGCAGTAACAAGAAGTTCAAAGCTCCATTAAACCTAAACGAAGATGATACCATTCTCTTGGATTGTATCAAGCAGAATGCTGAGTTTGCCTTCAATCCGTTGGTTCTTCTCAGGCTCATAAGCGATTGCATAGACGTCAGCTTCCTTTGATCTCTCCGCAATAAGCTTTCCAATTACCCTGCAGGCGTTGTTGTCTGTGAGTGAAGGCAAGGTGTTCCGCAGATCCTTGGCATTAGTCGTAGCGACTGATATTACCTTGCTTGTTCCCCTATGCATCACTTTTGCATGAACAAATCTTTTTGAGAAGAACACGGTGAGTACAAATGGCCTCATGTACATATCTGTCCTTTGCTTCCATGACTTTTTGTTAGGCTTTTTGGCAGCTTCACCCCTTGATCGCCGAGTCCAGGCAGCTTCAACAACAAAACTCTGAACAGAGATACAAATAGGATCAATCACTTTTAGGGCAATTGTTCCTTCACAAATAGGGGTCAATTTCACAGCCATACACCAACTTTTGAGCATGGAATATGCATGGACTAATACCATCACACACGTCAGTTCTTTCCGTATGATACTTTATCACACACACCCACACACAATGCCCTCAAGGACCACACTGTTGAACATGTATGGTTGAAGAGTATCTAGATAATTAGCAACGAAATCTTCTGCTGCTGGAATTGGGTCTTAATATACAAAGCGGAAGCATTTCCAGCCTCAATCTTCCAAACATTTGCCAAGAACAGAATAAATTTGCATCTCCCACAGTCCCACTTGGCAAGAATTGATGTGTTACAGCCATTAAGAAAGAAAGAAAAAGAAAATGCATATACCACTTTAAGATTTTACATCAAAAGACAATTAACTAAAACAATCAAAATAATTCCAAGTATTGAATAAGTAGACTCAAAATCCTTCAAAGTAAGAAAAGTCCTACTCTTACCATCAGAGAAAGGGAAAAGACAAGAACCTCAGGTCATAATGAAAGAGGAAAGATTGTAGAAACATAATTGCAAATTTGCAACCTTTTACATCTGGTGTAAGATATCTGAAACAACTACATTATCATAGTCATAATACAAGTAGAGAAACAGAATTGCTCTGCTCAATTATGCAAGCACCTTAAAGATTCTTACATGTAGCATCACAGTATGCTTAACCCATCTTCCAATACTAATATCCAAAATTAAAAAGATAAAAAAGCTAAGCCTCTCGAATCTTTCAGAATACCACGTAATTAAAGCCGGCAAGATGAATATGCTTCTTCAGCATACTAAGATAGCAGCAAATTCTCAAAAGAATGCAACCCAGTAAATATATCAAGAGAAATATACTGGAAAAATTCCAAAAACAAACAAAATTTATATCATGAAGGAAGAGCCTTTGGAGATGGGTTGAGTTTATAATCCTTACCTGCTTGTGGAGGCGATTCGAAAGGTGGCCGGATGGTGAAGTGGAGAGGGAAAGATTAAGGTTGGGGAGGGAAGAAGACCATGAAAGTGAAGAGGGTTTACCTAGCTTGATTGAGATTAATTCAGAGGAGAAAGCTGAAATTGAAGGAGCCCTGGAAGAAGAAGAAATGCAGGCGGACATCGTTTTACTGCTTTCTTCCTCCAAAATTGCACAGAGAAATCTCCAGTGAGGAAAACACTACTTATCCATGAACTGAGGAAAGCTTAAAAACTTTCAGAGATTTTCCTTTTATATCAGAACTGGAGACCCGTAACCCGTTTTCTTGGGCCGCGGTTTGGGCTTGGATTGAAAAGTGCCCACGAAAATATACCCTTAGGATCTTGAAGTGTCAAATTTTTTTAACCAAAGTGGTTGTGGTGGAGTGGAAGTGACTCCTCCACCCTTAATCATAGGTGAGGGTTCGAATATTTCCATGGCGTGAAACAATCTTAAATACATTCTACTAGTACAAGTGAATTTGGCTCCATATGTTTCTAGTTTATTACATTTTAAAGCTAACAAGCTACATTATATTTGTTGCATCCCACAAAATAAAAATTGAAGATTGCGATACTTCCTAGACTTAATTAACATAGTTCATATCAAAATCTCAAGACTAAATTATCACTAGTTTGTAAAATAATACTACTCCTAGCAACTGCCACTAACTAAGAAACTAAACTTATCTCTACTTACAGCTATATATATTGTAGAAGAATCAGTATAAACAGTTGACTCAGTTGATTTAGTCAATTGATAAATTTGTATATATTTTGCTTAGTTTCATACGTTAGGGACTATATATATAAATTTGTATATATTTTGCTGGATGTATATATATATATATATATATATATATATATATATATATAGCTTCTGTACAGGCCAAGAAGGATTCAGTTTTGTTGAATACACAGAAAATCAAATTGAAACTTTACTCTTCTTTCTTCTCCAAAGGTGAAACCCTAACTCAAATTCAAGATCCAAATTAATCCTTTTTTGTTGCAAAAGAAACAGCTATTGGGGACCGTACATAATGCTTTCCATCCGTCCACAACAACTCTCCAAATGCATGATCATAATCATCAGATGACGATGAAGCATTAATGTGATGATGACGATGACGATGACCATGAAACACTGCAGTCAACTCGAAACTCTGCTCTTCTCCATACTTACCGAAAGTCAAAATATCCGGTTTCACGGTCACGGAAACTCCGACAGGGTGACGTAACCGAGCCGCGTAAGTTCCCGGAGCCCCGACATTCTTCAGCGTATGCTTCACCTTGATTTCCGTGTGTGGCTCAACGTTGGTGACGGAGATGGAAGGATAGTTAAAGTTGTTGAGGTTGAATTTCTCGGGACATTTGTACCATTTGTCGGCAACCAAATGGATATGCGACTCGTTGTAGCCAATTCTACAGAGGAAGGTTCAGATGATCCGTCACCGTCAAGTCGTACAGTAACCCGGGATCCATGGCCCGGTTTGGCCGCATATGTTCCGATCCGTATCCAAACGGATTCAACTTCCTTCCGTCGAACATGTCCTTCATCGGGTTCTTCGTGTTGTCACGGGTTCGACCTGTTTATTTGTTCAACGAGTAAGGGAAAAATTAATTATTCAACATTCAAATTTACAATGTACTATGAATGTTTGTAAAAAAGGGCAGAAAAGAAATTCCTCTCTAATAATTTTGTTTTACACTTTTAACAATTTAACTAGTGTCATGTGAAATTCGGAACTGTAAAAAATTATACTACTATATAATTTCATTACCTGTGGTCATGATAGCGGATTTGATGGCGGCGGTACTCCAATCGGGATGGAGACTCTTGAGAAGGCCAACAACACCAGAAACATGAGGGAAAGACATAGAAGTTCCACGCATCAGTAAGAAATAAGGTTGGTGTTTGTTATCTGGATAAAGGGATTCCGGAAGGAATGACGCGATAATATCTACGCCTGGAGCAATAATATCAGGCTACAAGTAAAATCACAATTAACAAAAAGCAATATCAACGTAATAAACAAAGTAAATAACAAAAGTCCAACCTTTATTTCATATATATATATATATATATGTCATGATCGCCTATAACCCAACATAAATGACATTGATAATACACTATTTGTTTCTTTAATTATACATACATACACAATGGTAAATATAATTATGGATATCCCAGTTGTGACTAACCTTGATAATCTGGGGAAAAATTGAATTAGGACCTATAGAAGAGAAGAGGACTGACCTTGATAATCTGGGGAAAAATTGAATTAGGACCTCTTGAAGAGAAGAGTGCTAGTTGAGGAGCTGGTTTAGTATGGAAAAGTGTTTTAGGATGATGTATATAAGCCTTTGGTTCCCTGTCAAATTCACAATTAATTTCCACAAAGTGGTATAATCATTTGGCATTAACCAGCAATTCAGAAAAAGTAGTTCACACTGCAATTTATATACTAGCTATTTGGACAAATGGAGTATATAAGTAGTACTCCTTTTGTCTAAAAAAAAAATCCCCCTATATTATAGTATATGTACTAGAAATAATATCTATTACAATGGTAATGTAGATTATTTTTTCTAAAATGGAAAGAGTGAATGTAGAGTAATTTATAATTTACTTGGTGGAGTTGATGTAGGAAAAGAGAGTAAGACTGTGTTGGTAAGTGATATGTGTGTTCGGATGTGAATCAGGATTGGCAAAGAGTTCATTCCCGGAGGCAGCATCGTTACATAAAATCATTCCAACGGATCCGGGCTGAGAAGCCGTATGATCATCATTCATACATACCAAAATCTTCCCTTTGACTTTCTCAAGGTCAAGTGTGTCGGGCAGGCATTTCTCTCTACACACAAAAATATCATTCAAAAACACATGCACAATTCACCAAAAAATAATAAAGAAATTGTACATATTATGATCACTTCAAAACTATGAGTAAATAAAATAAATTATATGATCCACTTACGCTTCTTGAACGTGTAATTCCCATTTCTGGCCATCCGAGCATAAATCATAGGGTAGAATTTCTTCTCTGGTATTGCCTTAGAGAGGCTTTGTCCCTATATATAGTTGTACACATGGTAACATGAATTTATTTACACAAAATTATTTCAGTCTATTGTACCCAAAATCTTTATGTTTTTCATTATATACCTCCCTCCTGGTCCTTATTATACGATATTTTGTTTTGTCCTAAATTTTACTTAATATATCTTTTAATTTTTAAAAAAAAATCTTAAAACTACATGTTCACGGTCATTATATTCTCTTAATTATTAAGAAATATTTTAAATTTTTTTTTTCAATTGAAAAAACTTATTATGTGAAAAATCAAAATGCAGTATAATAAGGATAGGAGAAATACTCAACTGCCCCAGACTAATAGTCCACCTGATAAACTGGAAATAGATCTTTTGGTTACCTTGAGGAGAATTCCGTTTGGAAGTTGGACGACGGATTGGTAGCTCCGATCAATGTGGCTGGGGGCCACCGTGAGCAACCAGGGAGCCACGTTGGTGACGGTGCCCGGAATTCCCAGCCGAAGCAACCACCACGATATTCTTCTGGAGAGCATGAAAGGCGCCAATGGCGAGAGCATCGGTGAAATGATGGTCGGGAGGACCGCCGAGAGACATGGAAATCATGTCGACGCCGTCGTGTATGGCCTGGTCAAACGCCGCCAAGGAATCAGCGTCGCAGCATTTGTCGCCGAAGTAAGTTCTAGAACAAACTTTGTAAGTAGCCACCCTGGTGGCCGGAGCCCCGCATTTGGTGGTGCCGAGGGGGAAGCCGTGGAGGGTGGCGTTGGCCACAACGTTGCCGGCGGTGGTGGAGAGTGTGTGGGTCCCGTGCCCGATGTGGTCCCGGGGGGAGTTCTCATCATACAGGAGAAACTCGGGTATTCCTTTGTTGTAGTACCTTGCTCCGACCAGCTTCCTGAATTAGTTTATAATTATATTAGGGTTAAACGTGAAAAAAAAAATTAAGATATAAATGTGATCATACATACTTGTTACATGGGAAGATGCTGGAATTCTGGCAAGAACCTTTCCACTTGGACGGAATTGGACCAAAACCGTGGTCGTTGAAACTCGGGGATTCACTTTAGGTAGAAGACAACTATGGGCTGAGGTTATATACGCAATCCACCCACCCCCACAACACCCCCGGTTCAAAGCGATAATGTAGAATATAATTAGGTTGAAATATTGCGGCACAGCAAAAATTTCTATTTCTTTTTTTTTTTTGGGTACAATTTCTTTTTTTCTCTTATTCATTACTAATTAAACTGCGCTATTGTTTCTCCAAAAAAAAAGAAAAGAAAAGAAAAACTGCCTATTGTGCTAGGAATATGAGTGGAGAAGCAACATATATAGCCTACGTTTATCAATTATGCAGTCGTTTGAATTAGCAACTTGTTTGTCAAAAAAAAAAAAAAAATTAGCAACTTTTTCGAATGGAAGCATAAACTACAACGGCTTGTAACTTGACATTAAAAGACAATTGTTTGTCTCAAACGCTAATTATGCATTAATTCAGTCTCCAAAACAACAAATGAGCTCGTACGTAGCTCACTGAATTATTTTAATTACTACACTAATACAAAATGGAGGATGGATCCAAAGGTCGAAAGCCATGTTTGAGGCTTGCTTCCCAAACTTTATCAACATCGAACATCTCTTCTCCGCACTCATTCACATTCCATCCTTCTATTCCATGCAAAACGCCCGCAACTCGTGCTGCACTCAACGCCCTTCTTGGCAACCAATTCTGCAAAAATTAATCGTAAACACTAAGAATTCTTATCAAATTATATGTAATCTCGCCCTTTATATTTTGATGAAGCAGAAAATATCGATTATGTCTCATTAGTGAAATATTATAATCGTGTCACAGAATTACCTCACAAGAATCAAGGTTTTGAAGGGAGAAGGGGGCCAGCATTGCTGGAGTATTATGATATAAGCAGTCATTGCGGAGTTTCTTTGGAGGAAATTGACCAAATGGAATGAAGATAGTCCCTTTAGGTGCATTGAGCTGATCTTCTTCTGTTGATCCATCTCCAACTAACCATATCTGCCACAATAATTAAACTTCTCATCAATTGTAGTTCATCTTCCGATTTAATATAAACAAAAATTGCGACATCTATACTAAAAAGTAGTAAGGAAAGGAAAATGATTACCTTGTGAGCAATGCTTTTGGAGTATACTAGGTTGTTGTTGCTTTCAGGTCCTGCCATTAGTTTGAGCTTCTCATATTTATATTCGGATGGGATAGTCACCTGCAGGTGAATTTAACTCGTGATTTCCCACCGATATCTAGTAAAGGCGAATTTTTAATGCTATCTTGTTAAATTTGTTTAAACTTTTTTATGGTGACGATTTATGTTACAAACCTGCACGCCCTTTTGGCACAAAGCAAAAACAATGGAATGGGCAACTTTGTTGAGATTGCCTCTAAGGAGAACACCTGTTGTTCCTTTAGGAATGCTGTTTAGGACAATGGCAACAGCCAAGCTACTTCCATCTACTACTCTCACTTTCAGCTTGGGATATTTTTGCACAAATAACTCCCCATTTTTGTTACGATCCCCCTACAATAATAGAAAAAGATACAAAATAATTAATTAACACCAAAATAAAACAAAGAAATAAGAGTAAGAGATTATATACATATATTCTTTTTGAACTTGCCTGATTGAGAAGACCAAGACTCAAAACTTTAGTTCCTTTTTCATCTGCATCAAGTATAGCCTTCTCAATTAGGCCATTAATTGCTTCAGACTGCCATTTAACCAAGTACTGCCACCAAAAAAAAAAAAAAATGGTGTTAAAAAAAATTTAAACAAAATGTTACGAAATTGTTTGAAAAAACTCTCTTGGTTTTAAGAGCAGCTTAATTATACCTGCAGGTTGTACCTTGGGATAGCCCAAATTTGTAATTTAAGTTTGTCAAAGGCATTCCTCTCTAAGATGAATGTGTTTCCATAGACATAATTGATGATCATGGAGAGAAAAGTGACGGGCCGCATGAACCAAAAGTACCAGGGAGAAGAATCATCTTCAAGTTGAGGTTTGGAGGCAACGTGGGCAAACCCTAGACGAAGGTGATAGATGGATTCTGGGGTGGTTAGATGGGTCAAATGTACCACGTCAGCTGCATCTTCTTGTCGTTTCAGAGATGATTCATACAGTGAATCGGTTGATTTGTCCATGGTTCCATAAATGTAGTCGTACATTGGCATGAACAGTGCGTAATTTGTCCGGAATTGGGTGTGGTGTAGTGAATGGTATCTGTAGCAAATTTAATTTGTTCACCAAAATATTTTTTCTATTTTACTATCTATTTAATACATAAAACAAAATTTTATTACTATTTGAGACGAAAAGAATATATGTATATGTCAAATATCACATCGTCTATAGTGAGTGATCCAGATTTTTTCCATTGCCCAATACCAATAGTAGTCATACACAGGACAAGGAAACAAACACCATTCTGATTATTTGACTCAATTATTCCACGACTCTTACCACAATGAATGCAAAACCATTCTGTGAAGTTCACATTTTTAAAAAGGAAAAAAAAAAAAATATATATATATATATATATATATATATATATATATAGTTGAGATTGTCAGTAAGAAGACTCAATAAATTCCAAGGCATACGGACACACTAGAGCTAGAAAGTGTACTCAATAGGACCAGATAGCTGATAGAATAGTTACTGGCTACAATGCTTTACTGTGTTTTATATCAAAAATAATTGCTAGTACGTAGGTTCATGGTTGGCCAAGTTAAATAAATTCGAACCACCAACCAATTGTGCCAAAAACTGATATAAAAAAAAAAAACCATAAATGCAATATAGGAAGATGTTGATAATTCTCTAGAGAGTAGTAAAAAGAAGTAGTAGTAAAAGTAAACTAGTAGTAGTAAATTATATTACTTACGTTGGGGTATACATGAGGTACTTGAGGAGCGGGAAAATGGAGAAGAGTTGGTTGGGAATGAGCTCAAAGTTGCAGTGACCCATATTGTTCATCAGATCCACGAATGTGATGTACCCAACGATGGATACCAATGATGCAGTTCCATTTAGTACTGTTGTTAACGTTGGTATTGCAAACAGCAGGAAATATGATATGTGCTCCGCAAATGGATGAATTACAGCTGCATATATATATATACACAAAATAATTAGACCAAATATCAAAATTCAATTATGTCACGTCTCATTTTTTCCCCCCCTTCACTAAATTGAATCAATTAAAAATTAAATCAATTGTATAGAGTCTTTAGTTTTACTACATGATATGGGTTCGGTGACGATTGACGAATGGTGGTGAGAATGGTAACGAGAGTAGAGGAAATGGTGGTGCAAGGCTCTGTGCAACCAATAGTACAGAAACTCGACCGGACCGGCGTGAAGCAAGGCGGTGATGATCACGCCGTCGGTTCTCCACCACGGCAGCCGGGAAGCTTGCGAAACGGTCGTGGTGAATATGTAGAATAGGACTCCGTTCAGTATTATTTGGTCATCCCTACGTGCGCACAAATCCCCAGTTGTTAGTATATACTTTTGACATATTGAAACGTGAAATACTGATAACGCAATAAGTAATGGTCCAAACTAGGAGAGTACTTTAACCGTTCCAAAATAAAATATAGTTACCCGCTTAAAATGAATAATTCAAGTTTTCTTTTTTCATAACAATTATATTATTCTCTCTGTTCCAAACACATAACTAATTTTGTAATTTAAAACCGAATAAGTGTATTTCATTATAAGATAGGGAATTAGAGGACTAATTTGCATTTTAGGAGCATGTATATAGGATATAGATGGCCATTGCATGCATTAATAACAACAAAAAGCATGGCAGGAGAAATAGATTTATGGGAAAGAGACGTATAATTTATTAAGATTGGTGAAGGGAATTAAAAAAAAAGGGGGGACAAGTAGTAAAGTACTCATGTTGTTGACGAACCAATTGCTTTCACGGTCGACTTGATCGAATTCAATGGGTTTGTCAACAATCCGATTTTTGCCATTTGCAGTTCGATGCCGAGAAATGGAAATCCAGATTTGGTTGTGAAGGGCCCTCCACAGCAGCACCGGGAATACGAGCAAGTTCCCAAGGTCCCTTTGGCTTTCATCTTTGGCCACGAATGAGTAAATGCTATGAACCACCCATGGCGCCAACACCACGTACTTTTTTTTTTTTTTGATTAATCATTCATCCATTCATCCACCAAAAAAAAAACACAAAAACAGATTTACATAATTAGCTAGGAAGCAAGTCAGAATATATACTACTCCATCCATTTCAATTTTCAATTTATTAGGTCGTTTTAGATTTAGAGAGATTTTTCAAAATGTAAATCATTTTATAAATTCTAAACAAATTAATAATTATTTTTCCAACTTTGCCCTCAATAAATAACACTAATATATTTTCACTTAGTCTTGTTTATAGTTCCAATATAATCAATATGTGGTAAAAAAAGATATTTAACACATAAATTAATTATTGCGTGATTATTTTCTTAGGTTACATGCAAATTCTAAAGTGACTTACTTTTTGAAATGGAGTGAGTAGCTTTGGATTGAGGTTTTTGTTTCACAATCATTTTAAGACGGAATAAATATAAAAATCACATTATCGATCCCTTTTTATGAAGCGCATTGAAGAACAAAGGAAATGCTATTTTGAAGAGAGATTATTGAAAACCTCGAATACAACATTTTCATTAGTGAAAACCCATGGTTCTTTCTTCTTGTTGTTCAAAATTGTTGCAGAAGGATTTTGGCAGAGAAAATGAGACAAAAAGATGATAGCTACCCAAAAAAATTTTGTTTTGGATAAATGAGAAGAAAAACACTTGTTAGTTGTAGACCAAAAGCACCATATTTTCCTAAAAGATGAAAAAGAAGGTTACCTTAAAACTTCCAAGGGGAGTCCATGGCCAGTCAGTGAGCAACCCCGGAGTTGTAGCCATTTCTAAAAATAAAAATATTTAGATTTGCTCTCAGATGTGCTGAAATCTGGTGGAGGCGAGGGTGGTACACTTCTCTTATCCTCTAGTGGTGCACATATATATATATATAATAGAGAGAATATAGGGAGATGAATGGAACTAGGGTACAAGAGTAATTTTCTCTCTTGCTGTTTTTGTTTTTACTTTAATTTCTTTTCAGCTTTTTAATATGTTCATCCTATAGCTAAAAAAAGAAAAAGTAATATTATACGAACCTATAAGGACTTGATTTATTCTTTTACTACAGTACACTTCTTGAAAATCAATACTCAGATAATTTGAATTCAAGTTGAAAAAATTATTTTGATTATTAAAACTTTTGAACCTAAAAGGGACTTTGATACCACTTGCCAAAATTGGTCTGGAATGGAAAAAAAAAAAAAAAAAGGTTCTTAGCAAAGTGCATAATAATACTCCCTCAAGAAAGATAACTGTACGTACTTAATTTCACACTGCAATTGTATATTATCCTTCTTAAGAAAAGAGAAAAGAAAAATAGCTTTGGGGTACGTGGAAATATATAATGTGTAATGCGTTGCTTTTCTTGATGAATATTGAAACTTTAACTGTGTATGTACAACATACTGCAATTAATTTGTGAAGCCAAAAACCTTCATAGACGTGATTAAGATTGTAGTAACGATGTTAACATATATACTCTGTCCAGAAATGACGGTAGTATTTGAACTTTTACTTGTAATACAATTTATGATAAAAAAAAAATTTAATTGAATAAATCATTTTTGAATGGAAAAAAATAATTGTAGTAGGCATTATTTTAGTTACCTTTTACAAAAAAGATTTTTTTTTAAATTTTTATTTATTTATTTTTTTTGGAACGATGTAAGCGTCAAGAGACCACATATTTTGTCAGAAACTTGCATTAGCTCATTGTTAGGTGATGCATGGCATTTGTTGTCATGCTTAATTGTTCATACTTGAATATCATTAATAATGGGGGAGAATGTGAATTTTATTTATCATTTTCAAGTTCTTTTATAAACAAAACACATCATGTCATTTAAATCGAAAGAGAAAATTTTAGTTCCCTTTAACTCATAATCACAAAATATTGATAAATTTATCAAGTAATTTTCAAACCAAAAATGGTAGTGAAAATCGGTAGTCTCCTTCAATAGCCTTAAGGGGGTGGGGGGTGTGGTTGGCTGCCTAATTGCTGTCGGTCTTTAATTGGGATGGTTTAAAGAAGGGGTATAGCCGTACAGGTGGGTAATTAATAGTGGGAAAATAGGGCGACTCTAATTTGGCATAAAAACCAAACAGCGAAAGAAGGAAAGAAATCAATCAATCAAAAAATATCTTTCTCACATGGCTTGCCTCACAACAGCGACAACCACAGTCAGAATTTGAAAGATATGTATAGTAGTCATATAATATTGAACTATTGACTTCCCCAGGTACATTCACATGATCAATCGAACAATCATATAAATTCCAGAAAACAACTTATTATTATTACTCTTATTATTATTATTATTGTGTGTGCGTGTGTCTGTGGAATGATTCGTGAACTAAATTATATAGAAGTGAGGAATCCGGTTATACTGTATTGATACAACTATTTATTGTGTACAGTGAGAAAAAATATCGTTTTTACCTAAACCTTTGCTCTCGTCGTCAATCGTACCTAATAGATTTTCGGTTAGTCAATTTTACCCTAATGTTTGAAATTTTCGCCAATTTCGTCTAATTGGCCTATTTTCCTTCCAAATTAACGGATCTCCGTTAGTTTTTGAATAAAATAATAAATTTAAATACAAAAACATCCCAGTAATTTGTAAAAATTTTAAAAGTAATTCCTAAAATATATAAAAATAACAAAATAGTCTCTTTTCACTTTTTTATTTTATTTTTCTCTATTTTGTTCCATTTCTCTATTTTATGGTCATTAAAAGTAGTTGAGAGAAATGGAACAAAATAGAGAAAAATAAAATAAAAAGTGAAAGAGACTGTTTTGTTATTTTTATATATTTTAGAGGTTATTTTTTAAATTTTAAAACATTACTGGGGTGTTTTTGTAATTAAATTTATTATTTTATTAAAAAACTAACGGAGATCCGTTAATTTGGACGGAAAATGGGCCGATTGGACGAAATTGGTGAAAATTTCAAACATTAGGGTAAAGTTGACTAACCGAAAATCTATTGGGTTTGATTGACGACGAGAGCAAAGCTTTGGGTAGGTACGGCATTTTTTCCGTGTACAGTGCAATAACAAGATTACAACAATATCCCTAAACTAACCCTAATATATATATATATATATATGAAAATTCTATAGTCCAGTCATAAATTTTTTACTGAACCGTTCAGTTTGAATCTATCCAATCAAAATTGAGTACCCATGAGATGCTCATAGAGTGAGATGTATTCTAACAAATTCACGTCAATTATTAACTAGATGCTTGGCCCAGGCAGATGCCCGGGTGCCCCCTCTACTTTAATTTTGTGTTAGTAGATAAATGAATTTTTGATTTGGAAAAAATAAAATAGCTACACATTTATTTTTTTCCTTTTTTAGCCAAAAATAAAAATAAAAATAAAAAATCATCTGCAAAAGAAGAAAAAATATTAAACAGTACACCGATGTAAAAATCATACAAAAGAATGTAGAGTAATAAAAGAGATAAGTTTATGGACAAATTTAAATCCTATCTTAATTTAATTTGCTTGATAAATGATAAGTGTGAGTTAAAATTGTGTAGCTATTTTTGTAAATTAGCTTTTGTTTTCCCGGATAATAAGGTTTTTTTTTTCTTTTAAAAAGGGATGATACGTGGCAGAATGGTTAAAGCAATATGGTGCATTTGGAGCCAAATTTTTTAATAAGAAGTTGTCACATTAACATCCTGTATTCTGCTTTAATAGGGTAAAAGGGATTTGCTAATTAGATAATTTTTGAAGATAAATATTAATTAATTAATTTGCAGTAAAGATAAACACTACATTATCTTTTTAGAAAATAAAACTAACTCACTCAAGATCGATCTAGAGTTATTTTTTATTGTTTTTTTATTGATTCAGTTTTAGCATCAAATTTTTTTTTGTCAATTTTAGTGTCAATTAAAGAACTCTAAGATGTATTTATCAATACAAAATTCATAAGGGGATTAAAACTATCGTAAAGCACAAATTTTTTTTGGCCAATTTAATCACCTAAAACCATAAATTGTTTTCTGAGTCACCGTCCCCAATTTAATGATAATTGGATGAAAATTTTGAAGAACTGAGTTTAGTCTTTCTCATTCTTCACTTCAAAAGATAAATCATACCATCTCTTTAAAGTTATTTTTGGTAGGATTCTACTCCTTCAATCTATGCGTTTTAGTGTACATTCCAATAACAAGGTTCTTAATCCACCTCTACAAAAAAAATAATAAAAAAATCTTCCTTTATGTTTTTTACAAGTATTTAAATGAGAAGGGAGCACCATAATCTTAAAAATGGCTTATAATTTTTATCGATAAAAAAGTACCATACTAAGAAGAAAAACATGAATGAACCTTAAATTATCTTGGTTTCATACTACAAATTAAATCTGCAATTGATTGGAAAAAAGAGTAAAATACATGATCCCTTTGTTTGCTGCAGTTTGATTAATTATATCATTAATGTTATTTGTGATTTTCTGAGAACTAAGTTAGATATTAATGATATGTTTTTGGGTTGATTCGACTAACAGTTGCAACATTGCTTGTTGCTTTTGTTAATTTGTTTTGTTTTTAAAGGTACAATGATGTGTTACATTTCAAAGAATTAAAAAATAAAAAAAAATGCTTTTTGAAAGGTACAATGATGTGTTACATTTTAAATAATTAAAAAATCAAAAAAAATTTGAAAACTGATTCGCTTGTTTAATTAGTTTATGAATGATCCAATGTTATGCTTGTCCTTTGAGTTTGGTGTTCCACGTCTTTAATCCTAAGGTGATCATCGTTTCTTGTCATTTAACGGTTGATATTATTGACTGAATCGTTCAGTCGACTGGACCGTAGTCACTCCCATATATATACTCTTTTTGTTCCATAAAAATAATCCAGTTTTAAAATGTACAATTTTTTAATTTTAGCTAACTCCATCAAGCTACAACTCATTTTATATCATGAACTTCCTTTTTCACCCTTGTCTTCTCTCGGTCATCTCTCGGTCAGAACACCGAAATGTTTCGCCGCCGGAAACACCATTGCCGCCCGCTCGGTACACTCACCCTCAAATCATACCTTTTCCTCCTCATCAAATTTTCTCATTTTTTCTCATGAAGGAATAACCGTAAAAATCCAATTTTTCTAAATAAAATCAGAGTAAAGAAAGCTATATAGCATCATCCATTCTCGTTCGTAAACAACAAAAATAACAGAAGCAGCTTAAGAAAAAGGAAAAAAAGAAGGAATAAGAAGACGATACCGGAGATAGAGAGCATAGCAATTGAGGAATATAAGTTAATTGACAAAGGTGCATGGATGACGAAGGAGCTTGGCCGTGGAGTTTAAAGCAGATTGATAAAGCAATTGAGGAACTAAGAAAGTCGGCAACGAAAATTGGGTGAATAGAAACTCATACAAAGAAGAATTGAGGAGTCAGTGAGGGCGGCGAAACGTGGGATGAAGAATTGAGGAGTGACGACGGCGGAAGGTGGGGAGCTTGGCCGCATATGAAATTTGATAGGGTTAACTTTAAGGTTTTAATTTGACGGTGGATAGTTTTAGGGTAATTTAGTCATTTTTTTCGAATATAATTTTGAATTTCTGAGACTGGATTATTTTTTTGGGACAAATTATTTTATCAAATTGTACTATTTTTGTGGGACGGAGAGAGTATAAATTAAGCTGTTGGTGAGGAAAATTCTCCAAAGATTATAGAAGGAGAAATTTGTTTCAAGTTGGACACCATTATACACAAACAAAATAAAGTGGGAGACATTTTGCCTGAAAATAATTGGATGCTGAAAATGAAGATATACTAGTACTACTTGTATCGGCATTGATGGTGTACGTCCTATGTTGCAACCATCGTCTTAAATGAATGAGACCAAAAGACTTGTACGAACGGCCCGGCCTGGCCTTAGGGACATTATTAAGGATATCGAGAATTTATTTATTTATTTATTTTTAATATATAATTACAAGTACCTGATTTATTATATGTGTCATATTCATTTACGACTTGGGCAACCCCTTATTGGCTTACGGTGCATTAAAGATTTAACAACAGCTAGGAATTTGGTTGGTGAGATAGGAGTAATTCTATCAAATATGTGTGGCAATGTGCAGCAGTGACATTGGAAGTTCAGGGAAGCAATAATAATGCGTATTCATGTGGCTTGTGCCCAGTTCATGTATTGGACCAATACCACCACAATCCTCTATCCGCCTGATTCCTATTGTTGTGGGACGACGGGAATGCTGGCTAGAAAGTGACTGAATTCTAAATTTGATCCCTTTCTCTTATTGCCTTATTCTATTCATCATGTTTAAAGAGGTATCAATCTCTCCGTCTTAAAAGGAAAGACAACAAGATCCCTTGCAGGGATGGAAGGAGTATTAACTTTTGGTTAACCCTCACCGTTGGGTATTATTGTTAAAGTTATGTACAACCACAATATGAAATCTAATCTGCAAAATTGTAAACCGACTCCTCAAGTTAAACTGTTAATCTCTACCTGCAAAAAGCAAACAACCTCTCTCCATCCAAGCAGACAAAAGAAAATTTTTTCAAGTCATTTGACATCTAAGTATCAACTATACCTTCTTAAGCTTTCTAAGCCAGAGCGTACAACTTTTCGCGTGACGCCTTCCATGAGTCATTCCATGTCTTCAATTGACTCACTCCTGGCGACTTTATCTTTGTTTCCGTATGTTCTATCGTTAGGGAATACAGATCTCGCAGCAAAACCCATCAATTCGGTTGAATCCTTCAAGCGCCGGATTCTAGAGCTTATTCCACCATCACTAAAAAAGTCCATCATGGATATCGAACTTCTTTCTTTTAAATGGAAATTTTCTGCATCTGATTCCAGCAATGGAAGTGGTGCCTTTGATGTTAAATAATCTTCAACTCGAGTATGCCCTTCCTCTCCTTCACCAAGTGATTCCCAATCCACTTGGCGCAAAATTCCAGCAGATTTATTGTTAACCTTTGTGGGGTAATTTTGTAATTGAAGTGATTGTTGAATCTTTAACCTATCAACTTGTGCTTTCAACTTCTGTAGTCGATCTCCTATTCTTTCACTCATAGCATCATAAAGCTTCTTTCTGCATAACTTCTGCTGTTTCTCTGCTGCGAGTAAATCGTCAAAATTAATAGGATCGCCAACGAGGACAGTAACCTGTATACATGTTCGTTTTAGGAAAAAGAGATAGCTCAAGATAAATCATGCGATCCTAAATAAATTAATGAAAGTTAACATAATGTTGCAATTGAGCATGTATGAAATTCCCACCGTTTTGCCAACACGGGGAAGTTTGGCCCCAACAGGCATTACTTCTTCCATCCCTGAATGAACAAACGGCAGAACAATTGGTGCATTGTCAGCATCAAGGATCATCCTGTTACATATGCAATAGTCAGTATCAGCGGGAGATTTTACATTTCAATGTATAAAGGGAGAAAAGAAATCTACAATGAAATAATTTAGTGAAACTGAAGTAGACCTGGCAACCACTATGCCACAGAAGGTAGAGAAAAAGGGGCTTTCAGAAATCTATCAGTTTATATTTGCACCTATGTCGGATGCCAACGCTTTTCCTTACTCAACTCTTATTTGGCTGTGGAGATAAAGGAGTATGTAACTCTAGATGACTCCAGTATAATATTATAAGAAATATCCTAAGTAATCTTTTTAAGATTACAACTATCCAGATGAGTTTTGTGTCAGCCCACCTTAAGCAAGAAAAGATGCAATTTCACAATCCAAGCAATCTGATACACAAGGAACTCTTCAAGAAAAAACCACTAAACAATAGTTTGCCCAATGCTTCTCATACCCTTGTAAGTCTCTGACCTTTGTTCGGAGATATTACACCAGATGAAATGGCAAAAATAACCAACAGTTTTCTAGAGGCAGGCAGAGAGATTAAGCCAATCCTAAGTACCATGTCTGAAAGAAGCAGTATAACATGATCAGGCAACAGAAAGTATATCCCAGATTTTTTCCAACAGCTAAGGAGCAGAAGAATATAGAAGCTAGTAAAGTCAGCAACCATTATAAGAAAGCATAATTTTGGGTTTCCTTTGGTTTGGTTCACTTGATTGGAAAATTCTAGATAAAAAAGTGAGCATTTCACACAAGAACATCAGAACCTAAAACTATACTGACCTTCCAACTCCTCTCTTAACTTTAGCTATGGTTTTGCCACCATCTCGAGAGCGACTACCTTCAGGAAATATGTGAACCCACTCACCACGATTCAGTTTTGAAATAGCAATGTCCATTCCCTGCAGCAGATCGGGAAAAAGAAAACCAATAAGATTCTTTTACTTGGTGCATCCCATACTTGGAGATCAAAAGCTACAAGAGATTTTGGAATTTCAATGGTGCAGCAAATATGTTGCCTGCTACAACTTTGTCCATAGGACTAAAATGCCCAAGCATTAAACCAGTTCAAAGTATACAAAAGAACAATTTTGGAGACTCATTCAATATCAGACTAGAACAGGACGACAGATCAGTTGGCTAAGTCACCATTAAGGCAACAACACCCCGAGACAAGAACAATATAATATGGAAAAGATAAAAAAGTAGATATAATGATTACAGCTCAACAAGAATTCAGTTATTTCTATGAGCTGCATTCAGAAAAAGAAAGCAGTTCTGTATTTGGCAACCACATGGAACCCCAATCCTCTATGAAACTGTAATGTTACAATTCAAAGTCATAACATCATTTCAAAGCCTCAAAAGTTGAGAGGGAAAAGAAAGATTTCCCCATCTTCAAGATGGTGCATTGATGCAACAGTTGAGAGGATGAACTACCTTCTGGTAAATTCCATTCCCACGAGAAACAGGTAGCACTTTGACATGCTTGAAAAATGCGGATGTGAAGGAGTTACGAAAACATCGATCAGTTGCACATAAAGTCCACCTCAGCTTATTAGCATCTAAAAGAACACTGGGGGGAAGTAAGGAAGAAATAACCAAGGGATCATCAACAGAAGCAACATGGTTGCTAACCTACAAAAAGTAAAAGACAGTCAAAGGATTGTTCTCCAGGGTTAGAAAGAGGCAATGAAGCATTCATCAGTGAAACATTACCCTGTATACATACCGTAACCAGAGACTTATCACGTGGTCTATGCAGAACTGCCTGCTGAAGTTTCTCGGCGCCATATATCTGCCACAAAGGTCAGTTAGTTTGTGCATACCAAATAAAAGAACAGAACCCATGGTGAAACCTTAAAATCAAAATGCCACAGTAATCTTTAAACCTGAACACGATTCAAGCCATGCATAAAAACATAAGAAACATTCCCAAGGACTGGAACAGCCACAGCCTGTAGTACTCGGGTCAGCAATGACTCTGATTCTCTGCCGATGTCTTCACTTACTGCAAATATAATTTGATCTATCACAACCTCTACTAATATAGGACACAATAAAACTAACGTGGTTGCTAAGAAGCAGACATTCACTTAAGGGTTTTTTTCTTTTAGTTCACCAAGTTCCAAACTTTAATATCAATCGTTACGTCATACACTCTAAATCAAATTCAATAGTAAGAACATGTTCAAAAGCACAGTGCTAAACGTACAATCCAACCCTTAAGTCACCAGAACCAAACGGAACACCAAAAGGGTCGTGTGGAAAAGGGAGGGGGGAAGTAAATCTCACACACATAATTCCAATTGAATAAGGGTTAAAACCAACATGCTTAAAAAGACGATAAGCAAAGAAGCACAGACCTCTTTTACGGTAGAAAGCGGCGGAAGAAGGTAGGGATTCTCGACGGAAGTCACGGAACCGCTCAAGCCACCGCTGCAATGTGGGAGCAAAATAGCCGTGGGAGAACACCGGCTGCATCTGGTGGCGGCGGTCCACGGCGACCCTAAAGCGGTGCTTAAGTCGAACTTGTACCAGTCGAGCACCATCCTTAATCACATCCCCCACCGCGGATTCAATCCATCGCTCCACCACCATTTTTCCCCCAATTCTGTCTTTGGCCCGCAATCACACACTAACAGAACAACGAGTTTCTTCAAATTTCAGAGTATTATATATACAAGATTTTTTTAAATTTCTTCAAATTTAGTGTATTGAATTGAGTGATTATGGATTTTGCCTGGAGAGCAGATGTTTGCGCTACAAGAAAGTGTATGAAGGCCTCATCGCCGCTAAACAGAGTAAGTCGCCTTCTCCAGTCTATTTTCTCTTTTTTTCCCATTTTTTTTTTAAAAAAATATCTTTGGAACTAATTATAATGCAGAGGATTTACTGAAAGAATAAAAAAGAAAAAGGAAACGGTTGAAGAAGTAATATATACTCCGGTCCTTAAATATATTTTGATTTAAAACTTAGTACGCAGTTTGATTTGACAAAAAAAATTTAAAAAATATATTTTCATATTCATTGTATTTTTTGATTGTTATGAAATATTTGTAAGGTTTTTTGCTAATTAAAAATACGTAGTAAGTGAAATATAAGACAAATCACAATGTCTTATATCAAGGACCGGAGGGAGTACTGTATATTGGAAAAACTATTGTAACATAACCAAAATTTTACTTGGATTATTTAGAAATTCATTAAATTTGGCGCCTTCAATAGGTATAAAAGCTCAAATTTCATTTTAATAAGGTAATTGCGAATTACGATAAAAATGGGATAAAAGGGTCAACAATGATCATTGAAATCACAAGAAGCAACATAATTACAGTATTATTATTTACATTTACAATAACAAAGCCAATGACTTCATCAATTTTGTGTCATAAAAAGGACATCAGAAATCAGAAAGTAGAGTATCCGGCAATCAGAAGGTGTCAACAGTCAACTGTTAACATATGAAGAGTTGATACTTCGACTCTTTAGCTCCAACATTCAGGTAGTTTACATCAACTACGACCTCTCCAAAATCATCTGTCCATACAAGCATCTGGCCACGTTACTAGGCATACGATAAGGTTAAGAACTTAAGGTGTAGAATGATTACAGTGACAAGAAAGTACCTTCATATAGAGTCCTTGCAAAGCGGACATATTTAGGTATGAGATCCTGGTAGATTATGCCGTCTGGATGAGCATCTAGTACGACGAGGACTCCTGAGAAAAAGACAATGCAAGACATAACTTTCCATTGAAAATGTACTGTGATTCTGAGCAATGGGACTATCCGGAGGAGATAAATGTATTCTCTCCAGGAAACTTTGAAATAGATAGTAAAATTGTTGAATTCATGATTTATGCATGCCCTAGTCAACTGTTACAGAAAACATCTTAGAACCTAGAAACATCTTTCTCAGGACCCAAAATCACTGGATCATCTTTTGGATGGACCAACCATATGTAACAAGTCGAGGACTCGAATGGAATGAAGATACAACTAGGAATTCATGGGTACTTCTATTTGTAAACATGATCTACTGTGAAAGCATACGGCACAACGAGTAACACTTGGGGAAAGATCGAGCATTCAAATAAGCAGCACAAAGGAACCCAAGTTCTAACTTAGAGTTTAAAAATAGAAAAGTAATCAGCATTATTCTTTGCCACTACTATATGGTGATAAGAATATACCAGGTGCCAACCACTCTTTTCTTGAACTACTTGGTAAAGGGGCTAGCCAAAGAATGTTGCGTAGATTCATTGAATCATCATAACAGACATTGGAACCTGAAAAAGAGAAGTGATCAAATAATGGCATGCAAAAGATATTTCATCAATTAGAAGTGGCATCGTGCAGCAGTTCTTGAGTGATATTCGCAAAAGATTTATTTACAATTGAGTGGCCAACTTTGGAGACAGGCACCAAACCAAGTAAAACATGTAGAGCAACCTCACACTCACTAATTAACTACAACATTTCCCTGGTTCCCACTTTATTTTTCTTCCGGAAAGGCTTTAATTTACTATCCCAAGTAAACAACTCCTTCCTTTTCAGACTAATAACATAGACTAAAAATATTTGAACATTACAAATTGAGAAATTAAGTAGAAAACATCTCGTAAATAAAGGTAATGGCAACAAAAGTCAACTTACCCCGCTGGCAAAACCCCATGTTATATGGAAACACACCTTTCTGATAAGCTGGGTATTCCTTCGCATGGAACCTGAAACATACAAAGAGAAATGATAAGCTCCTATTGATTAACTATCTTGACTTCCACACAAGAATGAACACTAGGGTGGCAGCTTAGATAGCTAGCAACTTGTAGAATGTCAAGTTTCAGCTAAACAAAGCTTCAAATGAAAACAACATTGGTAAATACTCTTGCCACAAGAACTAAATTTAACTTTCCTGAGGTTGATGTACTTCGATAACAATCTTAACGGTTATTCTTATGAAGCTATTTGACTAAGTTTTTGTCTCAAGATCCAGAGAAACACTACTTTCAAAGCAAACTAACAATTCACAGCTCAAATTATGCAAGAGTGCAGTAAACGAAACAGAATAATGGCAATTCCATAAACCGAAAAAAAAGGAGGAAAAAAGTCTATTTGTAAGGTGTCCACAGTAGTACACTATAACAATCATAAAGGAAAGCTGCTAATGTAGCAGCAAATTCATCTTCATTTAGCAAAGTAACTGTTCCATAATATTTTCCTCAGCACAGAAATTGTTCTAAACTTTTCATAAAAGATCAAATTGTTCCATCTAAAAATTAGGTTGAAGTTGTCAACTTACAAAATACCAAGTCTTCCAGAGTCCACAGCAATAAAAAGATGGCCGTGAAATAGGTCATAGCGGTTTAACGAAACATTCAACCCTACACTGGGACCTCGGGCAGCAATTATTTCAAACAAAAGTGCTATGTATGAATTCAACTCCTACACAAAGAAAACTAGAGCTGAGTACAATAAAACGGAAGACAAGTATGTTACGATAAAGGAGCCATGTCACCAGGCTTGCAATGACGACACAGGTTATGGAATGTAGCATGTGTACCAAGCCATTTTATAGAAAATAATAGGAATTAGGTGAATGAGTAAGCAGAGTGTTTATTTGCACTAGAGGAAAATGCTTACAGCATTCACAAATCGCCATCCATAGGGAGTTCTAGTAAGTTCACACTTATCTTCTTTAGACCCTTCACAGTCAGGTACCTATATATTAAGAGAAAACACATTGTAAACAGTTACGCTCAAATCTTGCTAAGGTGAAGCCCCCATGTGGGATGACATCACATAAAGGAGTTAGTAGCACTAAGAATGAACATTATAACTGAAGCAAAATTGTACTACCATTACAATAACAGCGACCAATGAATCTCATATTAACTTAATTGGTCAGAAGCAAAAAAACTTAAGCGTTGAAATGACCACCTCATGGATGCATATCCTACAACATTTATTATTCAATCTTTCTAAGAATATAGATAATACCCAGGTACTTGTTGTCTGTTAGATCAGAGGCACAAGAACTACATTGACACAGAATTTGTAGAATTCAAATTAAATACTTGAATTTGTTTCCAGATTGGCAAATGACAGGGCTGCAGAACCTCAAGAGACACTACTCACTGCTTCAGTCCCATCTATTCGTTCAAGTATTAGTCAAAGTGAAGCAAACTCGAACACTTGGATGTAACCTAAAGAAACAAAATGGGAAAAAACAACTCACTATGGCACCATCAATAACATCCCACCACAATCGCCACTGCTGAAAGTACAAATGCTTGCATTGCACTTCCATAGTTCTTAAACAAAATCAACACCATCACCAGTTAATTTCCCAAGAATGGTTTTTGGTCATCTGCAGCTCACAGATAAATAATAGTAACTCTTCCAGTTTATCAAAACCCGCGAAGGTAGAAGTTAAAACTTGATGCTAATTCATGGGACTGGTCAAATATTGGACTTATGTGTGAGAAGAGAAATGTGGAAATGCATTCCAAATTACTTAACCTACAACATTACTGTTCAGTTAGCATTCCAAAGAACTCTAGGACTACTTGGTCAAACTTGTAGCTTACTCTAATGATAATAACAAGTGGAATGGAGCTGATGGAAATAACAGTAACATCAAAAAGGAAGAAGATTGAGGAAATTTTGTCGTAAAAATAGATGACAATAAACAAAATATGGAGCAAAGTGCTTAGGTAACATACTGGGTCTTGTTTACTCCCATTAAGTTTACGCTTCAACCCAAAATATACAATGGGGCAATTGATGTTTGAAAACAACAAAGGAGATATTCGAGAAGTCTACAACCGCAATTGATGCTTACTTTCTTTTACCTTAATCTTGTGGAACAGATTCTGATTCAAACGTGATTTTACTAAAACACATTCAATGTGTTCGACTTCACAGATAGATTTTGATTAGATCATGGAAAAGTTCCAAATTGAACAAAAGAAACATTTCTATGCTTGATCCATAGTATATGTGACTAATAGAATATAGTTACACTTCAAACCAAAGGTGTTTACATTTCTTGAACTAGTTCTAGCAAAGGAATTCAAACTATACTTGACACTAGGCACCATTCTTTACCGATTCGACTTGAAAAGCTCAGATTAACCTTTCCTTTCTTATGATGACGGCAGAACCATTCCATTCCATTCCATGACCGGGGAGTATCAACTAGCCCTTGACATTGAAGGTCAAAATCCACCAAACTAATCTCCACGCATTCTCCACTAGATACATAAAAATATAGGAATTGAAGGATTCTCTTACTCTAAACTCTCGCCTCTAATTACTGAATACTGCATTACGGAAAACAGTAGAGAAAAACAAAACTATCAGAAAAATCAATCTTACTGGGATGACAGTAGGATCAAGAGTCCTATGAATAGCACCCGGGTCGCCACCAGAGTCAACGGCTAAGCGGGCGAGCTCCAGCACCGGCGCCGGTGGCCACCAGATCAACTCATTATAGAACCTCTCATCCTCATTCGCCCCTTTACCACAATCAACAATGAATTTATCCGAACGGAGTGATCGTCGAGAACTGTGGTTCACCGAACATGACGCAGCGTGAGGTGAAAAGGGTACAAGAAATTTAAAACACGATTTGAACTTCTGGGCTACTTCAGCATTTACAGTTGAGGCTTGTTGAGGGGAGCCCAGAAGCGATATAAGATCTTTGGTGGTGGCTTTGGGTGCGGAATTGATGGACAAATTCTGGGTTTTGGCTTTGGGGAAAGAGAGTGAGGAAGAGGTGGTGGTGGTGGCGGCAGCAACAGAAAGAGAGAAAACCACCGCGAATTTGAGCGACAGCAAAGGTGGCTTGCCCAAGCCCATTACAATTCACCAATAATAATAGGCAATGGGCAAACTGCCAACCCAAATGATGAAGATCAAGGCAAAATGGGGATAACGATGGAGTAAAGATTACATTTTTATTAGATGCACAAATGTTTTGATTGACAATTGGCGTGTTTCTTTATTAATGGTTTGTTTGAAGCCTAATGAAATCTGGGCAAATTTTTACGGGTTACATTTTTTGGCGCCACTGGTAAATTTGCCTGTGACCCAAAATTCTTTATCTGGGTTAGTATTGCATCGGAATTTACTCATTCATGGCTCTCTTATTTTGGGATGGCAAAATACCATTTTTTGACACCTTTTCGAAAAAAGCAACTTTTATGGATGCTGTGCAAATTAAAAGAATAAAAGTCTTAGATGGTCTGAATTTATAGAGGTTTGATTCAAAACTCAACTGCATTGTGAGTGTGCAGATATACCAATCATGAATATTTGGCCCTTGCGGCATCTTGTGGTACAGGATCAAAACATGAGCTAAATTCTGAATGTAAGCTACAAGATTTTGTACAGGAGATGAAGTTTCTATAATACACAACTATGTAAAGCCTTTAAATGAAGATGAAATTTTGATCCTCTCTAATTATCTTGAGCTTCCTTGGACCAGACATTCCATGATATAAATACCTTCTTTTGCACACTGTCTAGTTGTCTTCCCTCTTCCAATATTGGAATACTTCCGATATGTTTAATTTCCTTTGCTTGAACAGCTGAACAATATGCACTGTTTCCATGAAAACCAACTTCTCAGATCCCAACCTAAAATTAAGTAGAAGGAATTAGGTATATGCTCATAAAATATGCGATAAATACTACCTAGAAAGTTACCCTACAATTAGTTACGTACCAATGACTAATAAAATGAATAATGAACTTACATTAGAAATTACTGGTCGAAAGACACTAAACTGCATCTACTGCTCTAATTCCAGCACCCTTATCCCAATCTTCTGGGGCGGCAACATCTGCCATGATCTGTTCCTGACCCCGCCACAGGATCTGAAACCAAAATTTGCATTTAATACAAGTTCATCAAGGAACTATGCCTAAATGAAGTTATAGTTATGAGTTCAAAGCAAGAACAAATTGGATTATTATGGTTATTGTATCAGATACAATATAGTTATGAAAAATAGAGATCAGAGCAACTTACCCTATCAATGACACCAAATTCTTTAGCTCTTGTTGAGTCCATATAAAATGGTCTCTTCATCACATCAGCTACTGTCTCGACGGACTGCAATATTATATACCAGTATATCACATAATCGGTCACATCTCAGTTCACCCAGAAAAATGAATATATTTTATACGTATACTCACGTTTTCAGTGTGCTTAGCTAAAAGTTGAACAAGAGTATCCCTGTTGATAATTACCTGCAACAGAAGTTTAGTTATTGTCTACAAATTCAGGTGCAGTAACTTATAAAAGGAAACATTAGGGATACAACTCAAGTGTTGCTCTTATGCACAGGAGACTAGCTAGTAATCATCTGCAGAAGCACAAAGGATAGTCCAGTCTAACTTTCCTTAGTTAGTTAGGTCTATCATACTACATTTATGTCCAACCATCCTACTTATTATCAACTCCAGCAAAAAAGGTGTACGTAGAGATAATCCTGCACTGACCTCCTTTGCACGGATAAAAACATCACTAGCTGGCATCAACCCTGATGATGGAGCACGAGGTTGCTGGATCATAGCTGGAGCAGAACTCAAAGTCAGCGTCAAATCATTCCAAACATAGTGAATAGCGGTTATTTATAGTTACGGTGGAACAAAGGAAAAATACCTTTAGCATGTGGCATCATAAACCTTTTTCCCTTGGTACCCGCAGCAAGTAATAGACATGCTTGTCCAATTGCAGCACCAACTGCTACTGTATGTATCTGCGTCATTCCCCATCATAGACAGTGTAAACATTAATGAAAAGGGAGGTGCGAGAGCTTGTCTTATGAGTAAATGAATCATAGTGACAATATCATACACAGAACAGGTCGATCAAGATAAAAACATTTTACTAAAACAATAAAGAAAAAAGGACGCAACAGCATGAATTAAAAATTCTTAATAGAAAGAGCTTAGTTATTAATTGATAAAACAGAAGACATAATGGTATTTTAAGTCTGAAAATGTTGTGAAGGTAATGTGGAACATATGTAATGCAAACGGGAACATCAAAATTTCTGGTTTCATGTCATTTGCTTTACTTTCATTTCCTTCCGTTGCATCGCCAAATGCTAGAAATATTGGGTAATCTTTAGCTAATTTTCTTTTTTCACAAGTACATCCTCTTTAGGATAAATTTATTCACATATCATGGAAGAACTCATTTAACGTTGATAATTATCAACCGCCAAACACAAATAATAATAAGAATAATAAAGAAACTTACTTCATTTTTCAACTGCATCATAGCATCATAAATAGCAAAACCTTCAGTTTCCATACCAACCTGAAATTAACAAATCCCAAAAAGAATAAGCACAATGACTCAAACAAAGGTTCATAAAGAAAGTGGAATCCTCAAACAATGGCTTAAGAATAGAAACCATAAAATACTTATAGAAAGAGGTCTTCGGAGGAGTAATCAATCAATAAAAATCAGGCCCACATTAAAATTACCATATAGGCAAACGCAAGCAAATTTCTATGGGTAGCTGGACAACAAAATTATAATAGTCAGCTGTACATCTCACCGTTTCACCATCATCACGAGTGGTCCCAGTGGAATTTATATACAAAAAGATTGGCTCTTTGGGATCCATCCATTGCAAATACATTAATTCTGCAACTACAAGCTCAGTGACTGCTGGTACCAACTGGGAGCAAAAAGAAAAAGAGGGAGCTCTTATAACCACATCATGCGCCATAATAAATTTTCCAGGGAAAAAAGGAACCCAGCAAAAGAGAATAGTGAATAGAACGGAAAATGGAGTTCTGTAATAATCAGTCTATTACATTTTTTCATCCAATCATGGGCAATCATTTTCACTTTTAACCTTCAAAGAGATGATGATGTCTAAAGTCCAAGATCCACAGAACCATGCCCTCTTAGAATTGCTATTTGATAAACAATGTTCTTATACTACAGTCTCAAGACTTTTCTGGAGACTTAGATGACTGTATAAATCAGTAACGGAAGTAGTATGTATAACTGTCTTATGCACCAATTAGTTCCAAATGAGATCAACAAACTACAAGATATGAACTATCAATAGTCCTTATTCCCTCATTCAAGGCACTCATTGCTCTAAATGCAACTATAGTTTCATCCACGACAAAACAGAGGTCGGAATAAATCCTTCCAACTGTAACTCTAAGCTTTAAAATCAATACTGACACACAGAATTAACAAGGATATGTTGCAACAGCACCACATTGACAGGTAATGATAGCACCACCAAAACACCTATCATCTAACAATATTTTTGTCATCTTTTCCTAAAGAGTTCTTTCACATAAATCTTCAGATTTCATCCAACAGATACTAAACACTTTAAATGATTTTCACATACGTTCAATTTTTAAGCTTGCAAATGACACTAATTAGGAATCAAAACCGCAAAAAACAATCGAACTCAAGACATAAATCTAAATGATACCCCCTTTTCTGACCAGGCCTTTCCATCTCATACAAAAACCTTGTACATTTTTTACACTACGAAGACCATTTATCAAAATCAAGCTGATAAAAGAAGCAAGAGATTTTACCGGCATCCCAATGTACACAATTCTACCATGGAGCAGCAATGATGGCAAGTCAGGCGGTGGCCTCCTTGGTCTATGTTCATTGTAGGAAACTGATCTTTCCACCTATTTCACCCGAAAAAAAAAAAACAACAATCACAGCAGAACCCCTTAAGAAAAACAATAATAAATTTCAAAGACTAAAAATCATAAATGAGAAGTTCATTCAATTTAAACAATAATAATCATTAAAAAAAAAAATCTAACCGTGGCAGGGGTAGCCATGAGTTTTGGCGAGTCATATATATCCAAATACGGCGGCATGTCGGAATTCTTAGGGCGGTTGAGGAGTAGCTCCGGCGACGTTGCGGCCACCGAAGCAAGCTTCGACAAGAAAGGGTCCTTAGGGTTTATTGGTGGCATCGGAATCTTAGCACTGCCAACGGAGCAGAGTGTTCTGTTCAAAGCATGCTGTTTATGGGAACGCCTTGAAGAGGAGGAAGAAGACGACGAGCAAGGAAACGACGACGTTATCGGAACCTGGAAAATGGTCGCCATTTTCAGCTAACAGTTGGAAGTCTCTCTTCTTCAGTATCAGCCTATTTTCTTCTGGAAGGAAGAAGAAATGCCATTGGTTTGGATAGTGTTAAATTGTATCAGTTCTGCAGTTTTTGGATGTTTTTGGCCCAGAAAAATTTAGGCCAAAGCCTGCTAATATAGGTTTGAGTTAGCATACTTCGGATTTGGGCCACCCTTACTTCACAACTCACAAGGATCATAACAATCCTATGTGAAAAACAAATGTTACGTGAAAAAGAATGAAGATAGATTTATAATACGCAAAATGGAACCACAAATTTTATAAGTTTGTACTAGGTGAAACCCCGTGCCCTGCACGGGATATAAATAATTTTATGTTGTTTTGATAATTATAAAAATATAATATTAAGAATTTAATTATTCATAATCTCTTATTTTACTAACCAACATTTATAAATGGATGTATATCCCATAAATGAGAGTATAAAGTAGTAAGATGAAAATGGTGTAACTGAAAATGTCGCTTTTATATTTTAGAAAAGAAAGGTTAACCATTTGTTGCAGAAACTTTCTCAAACCTAATAATTTAGGATATCACTCCGAATAATTATTGATATTTATGTACTCACAGTTCTAAAAAAAAAAAAAAGAAAAGAAGTTTTATCACTGACATCATGTACTCCATTGTTAACGGGATTGTTTTAATATGATAGATGATCTCTCTCTCTCTCTCTCTCTCTCTCTCTCTCTCTCTCTAGTGTGTGTCCCGCGCTTTACGCGGCTTTGTCAATATTGAAAATTTATATTTCAAAAGAATTGATTAGATAATGTAGTTACAAATATACCGTTCTTATTCTCTTAAAAAAAATATAGTTACTAATATTTCTTAAAACTGTAATATTTTTTGATTAATCAGTTTTAGATCAAAATAAGAGGTATTGATATTATTTATGAGAGGTATATTTGTAAGATCTGGTAAAAATTATTACAACAAAGATTTTCAAAAGTTGTATAATAAAAATTGTCACCACTAATTAATGTTATGTTTGGTTTAAAAAATATATTTAAAAATACGTAAATTATGTCTAGATGCATATGGCCTATTTTTAAAGGCAAGTGGACTTTGGGGATTAGATGTAGTTCTAATAAAATATGAGACACAATTAATCGTCCTTGAAAATGTAAAATCGATAAACTTGAAAACTAAATAGCACACAAATGGAACTTTAAGGGCCAAAATGATAATAGGTTGAACGTTTAAACTCATAAATGAAAAGGCTTTTGAAGTCGGGAGTTTCTCAGCAATTTTCAAAAATATTCATTTTCAATCTCACAATCAAGAATTTGTAATATCTGTAAAAATCTTATATACTCCCTTCGTCCCACAAAAATAGTCCAGTTTTAAACTGTACAACTTTTTTAATTTGGTCAACACACCAAATGTATAACTCATTTCATTCCCCTAACTTCCACTAATGTCCCTTCTAGTTATTTCTATAAAAGTTAACTACATATGCATTTATTTTACAACTTAAATTTGATCAAAATTTTTATCTCAAAAAATATTGACCATGGATCTTGATGGAAAGATCTCGTTACGTAGATTAATCCTTATACTTAATATAAAGTTACAGTAGGTAAGAAATTAAATGCCCAAGAAATATTCAGGGCCACCTTCAAATTGATCTCGTACGTCGGATGGCCTTGATATGACGTCAGCGACTTATTGGGGGCAAAAAGGAGAATGCATAAATTCAATTTCAAATTAATGTATGAGAAAAAAATCTGAATTTTTGGTAAAAAAAAATCTCCAGATATCAAACAACGTCGTTTTACCCTTATTTTATTCCCAACAGTGAAAACAACGACGTTTTTGTATCAATGTTTTCTTTTTAAAAAGAAATTTTGTTGAATCCCCGAAACAAAATGACCACAGATTATACTTGCGCTTCCTCTTTCCTTTTTTCCTTCTTATTTTTTAGCCTCCTCCCTCTTTTTTAAGACCTCTATTTATGCTGATACCCCCACCATTTTTTGGGACCGAAGGATTATATATAAAAAATTATTACAGACACGAATTGGAACTGCAGTTCCTCCGCCGCGACTAAAACTATAGCTGCGGCTAAATATCAAACTGCCGCTAAAGACCACCTTCAAAATTGAATTGCCGACGCTAATCACCATAACCTCCGTGTAGAGTTGTTGAAGTTTATCGTTGGAACGTTTGTCGATTGAGTCCATAGATTCGATTTTGCAACCTTCACCGGTGAGACTGTTGGGGACGAAGATAAAGAGCAGTAACGAGAAGAGGAAGGGGCTCTGATCTTGATCGATCATAGATCGTGGTGCTAGACAAGATTTGAACATTGTTTTATATACACTACTTTTTGTACTTTTTCTTTTTCTTTCTATTTGGGCTCTAATTCTATTGCTGCAAAGAGTCGCTCACCGGATTTTCCAGAGGGTTTTTTCCTCTTCTGTCCCCACTACCGTGGATTATGCCACCAACTCACTCACCGGAAAAATAAAAAGTTCGGTCTTTCTGTACTATTGCTGCTACTTCTTTTTCCTTGGAGTCTACTCCTAATCTTTTCTTCTTCTTTTTTTTTGTTGATTTTTGTTAGTGTTTACATTGTAGAACTTTCTAATAGGGTAGAAACTAGAATTGCATAATTTCCGCTATTTGTTTCTGTTGAGAGCTCTCCGTGCAAAAAGAGGACACCAAACCACATACAAATGCCAAGAACGATCAGAAGGACTTTTTTGCTGGGGCTCTCCGCAGTTCCTGAATTGTTTTATTCTCCAAAAGGTTTGTTTTGGTGTAGTTCTCTTTTTATTATGATTTATTTTGATTCTGCTTTTGCCATTCAATAGGGAAATAGTTACTGCATCATGAAATCTTGAATGATATCTAATCTTGTCTATGCTCACTGAATTTCACTTGGTCCTAATCTTTTCTTATTTTTCAGGTTGCCTAATCTGTTGTTTTTTCATCGATGTTCCAATTAAACATCGTGGAGATGGTATCGTCTTCGTCGTCCTCCTCGTAAGAATTTGATTATTTGTTCAAATTATTGTTGATTGGGGATTCTGGAGTAGAAAAAAGTAGTCCTTTGCTTAGCTTTACTCCAGATACCTTCGAAGATCTCTTTCCTACAATAGGTAATACTGATTTTATTTTTCCCTTTTATATCTTTTGTATTAAAACGAATTTGAAGTTTTGATCTCAATATTCACATATGGTTATGATTTTGGATGGAAAGGTAGGATTTTACGAGAATGTTTGAGTTGTTGAATTCTATTTAATCTAGCAGAATTTCATGTAATTGTGTTTGTTTTAGGTTGTTGTCGGTTAGTCATCGAATTGAAGTCTTTCAGAATATGAAGAATTATAAGGAGAGTGAGAAATAGAGAGATATTGTCAGAAGAAATAGCAGAATTGTGGAAGTTGAGCCATGTTACAAGGACCTTTGCAAGATAATTCCCTTTTAAAATTTCTTTTTTTGAATCCTATTGAATTGGCGGAACGTTTGTTCTTCTTTTGTGTTTCAAACCAATTTTAAATGTACATGGAATATGGAATATTTGCTGATCAATTGGTTTCATGTCAATTTATCTTATGTTAGTTGGATAAAGGTGCAGACCTTTCAACCCTGGTAAAAGTTCTCATGACTTACTATTTTTGGAGATATGATCATGTTTGCATTGGTGTGTTGTATACTGTCTCCACCAAACCTAGTTTTTTTTTAACCTATTTAATTGCAAAGTGAAAATTGAAGTGGAAGGGAGGCCTTTTTATGCCTTAGGTTTGAACACATAAAATTTTGGTTTATTGAACTGGTAGACATTCTTTGTTGTTGTTCCCTAAATGTGATCTATATGAGAATACATTATCAATCACTTTAAAATTAATTGGGTTACAGAGGTTCCTTTACTGTCAACAAAGTGAATCACATGGAAGACTAATCAAATGTAGTTTAGTATACGATCGCAATAACATTGCATCAAATTGGGACCAAAATTCGTCATAAATCCTCACTCCACTAGATATCTGCACCAAAATTTGTACTTCTTTTACTGGCTTTATATACTTGTGATATTGTAATGTACCTTTTTTCTGACTTTATGTTTATAATATTTGACTGTTTTATAATAAAGACTAAAATACCATCTCTTTATATGTCTATGGTTCAAAAAAGTTGATTAGCCTTGAGAAATTACCTCCATATCTAGATTTGAATATTTTTCTCTAATTAATACGCCTGGGCTCTCTTTGATATGTATGCTGGATTATTTGAAAATTTGGAATATAATGATGAGCTACTTTAGTAGCATGATAAGACTCTTGGTGTAAGGGAAAAAAAAATGATAGCATACGATTTGCTACATGCATTAGTGAGCCACTAACTTGATGTCCTAATTATGATAGTTTATTTGTGGTAAATTTTGCTTTACCAGGCAAATAAAATGCTAGACACTTGGCTACTCGTCTTAATATTAGTACCTGATGATTGGGAATGCTTTGGGAAGAAGCTACCCGTTTCTGCTTTGGATTGACTAAGCATAGAGTATACTGCATTACTTCATATGTAAAGCTCATTGCCTTTTTGTTGTTCTTCCGGTTCAGGAACCCCACTTATTGTACCAGATACAGATAAAACTAGCAAAGAATTTACAATTGAAAGGCGTAGGTACATTAGGAAAAGATAATCACTGTCTCTATACCATTTAAAAAAACTTTATTTCGTAAGACTTTCTGGTGGCTTTTGCTTCTCTGCCTTACAATGCTTCTTGCAATCTATGCCACAGTCATTTGGTTGTCAATAGTGAGAAAAAAGATAAGTATTTCGAGCTTCTTTACCCACTAAATGTCAAAAACAGGAATCTATTATGTTATTCTAGAAGACCTTTCAGAGAAGGAAACACTCTTCTATAACTTTGCGCATAAACGTTTCTATTGTTTATCCTTAATTTTCTTTTTATCATTTACTACATAATTTCTTCATCTATCTGGAACA